TGAGGTCGAAGGAATTGTCCGAAGAGCTCCGAGACAGGATTGTGTCGAGGCACAGATCTGGGGAAGGGTACCCCAAAAGATTCTGCAGCATTGAAGGTCCCCAAGAACACAGTAGCCTTCATCATTCTTAAATGGAAAAGGTTTGGAACCACCAAGACTATCAGGGGAGAAGGGCCTTGGTCAGGTAGGTGACCAAGAACCCGATGGTCACTCTGACAGAGCTCCAGAGTTCCTCTGTGGAGATGAGAGAACCTTACAGAAGGACAATCATCTCTGCAGCACTCCACTAATCAGGCCTTTATGGTAGAGTGGCCAGACTGAAGCCACTCCTCAGTAAAAGCCACATGACAGCCCGCTTGGAGTTTGCCAAAAGGCACCTAAAGGACTCTCAGACAATGAGAAAGAAGATTATCTGGTTCACCTTCCAACAGGACAACGACCCTAAGCACACAGCCAAGACAATGCAGGAGTGGCTTTGGGACAAGTCTCTGAATGTCCTTGAGTGGCCCAGCCAGACCCTGGACTTGAACCCGATCGAACATCTCTGGAGAGACCTGAAAATAGCTGTGTACCGACACTCCCCATCCAACTTGACAGAGCTTGAGAGGATATGCAGAGAAGAACGGGATAAACTCCACAAATACAGGTGTGCCAAGCTTGTAGTGTCATACCCAAGAAGACTTGAGTCTGTAATTGCTGCCAAAGGTGTTTCAACAAAGTACTGAGTAAAGGGTCTGAATACTTATGTAAATGTGATTTCAGTTTATTAGTAATCCATTTGATAAATTTCTAAAAACCTGTTTTTGCTTTGTCATTATGGGGTATTGTGTGTAGATTGAGGGGAAAAACTATTTAATCCCTTTTAGAATATGGCTGTAAAGTAACAATGTGCCATAATCATAACACAAACTTACTCAAGATATGCGTCCTGCTCCGACCTCACTCCTGTCGCTTCTTCTCCATATTCTGGATCAAGCAATCGTCTCGACTCATGATTTTCCATCATGTTTTGTCCTGTTGTTCGCGGTCACTTGACAACAAAGGCCATGAATGCTGGACATGCAGAGCCAGCAAAAGCCTTTGCCAAAAATATTCGCGAAGGGAAAACCACAGCATGCGAGACAACAAACTCTCAATTCAAAAAGAAAATGATAAGGAAAGCACGAAAATCATAATTATATTAATATTTTTGCAAGCAAAACATATCAGTTTCAATGTTGTCAACTGACCGACCGAACGATGATTGTCAAATTTGGTCGTATGCTTTCATAGAATCAGCTGAATCGCATTCTAGCAATAAATTGATATTTCCGGTTTCGTTTTTCAAAATAAAAGTTATCTGGGAACGGCTGTTCCTTAGAAAGATGATGTCATAAATGTTAAAACAAAGAGTAAGAAGGTGGTGACTCTTATTCGCTCGGTCTCTGGTTATGAATGGGGTGCTGACAATCGTTGATGGATTTTTATAGAGCTCTGATCAGGACGACAATTGATTACGGGTGTATAGTTTATGGAACAGCACCGAAGACTTGGCTTCAGAGGCTGGACAGAATCCAGTATATACAGTGCATTCGGAAAGTATTCAGACCCTTAACTTTTTCACATTTGCTACTTTACAGACGTGTTCTAAAATTTATTACATCGTTTTTTCCCCTCAATCTACACACAATACCCCATAATGACAAAGCAAAAACAGGTTTTTAGAAATGTATCAAATGTATTACAAATAAAAAACAGAAATATCACCTTTACATAAGTACTCAGACCCTTTACTCAGTACTTTGTTGAAGCACCTTTGGCAGTGATTACAGCCTCGAGTCTTAGGTATGACGCTACAAGCGTGGCCCACCTGTATTTGGGGAGTTTCTCCCATTCTTCTTTGCAGATCCTCTCAAGCTCTGTCAGGTTGGATGGGGGAGCGTCGCTGCGCAGCTATTTTCAGGTCTCTCCAGAGATGTTCGATCGGGTTCAAGTCCGGGGTCTGGCTGGGCCACTCAAGGACATTCAGAGACTTGTCCCGAAGCCACTCCTGCATTGTCTTGGCTGTGTGCTTAGGGTCGTTGTCCTGTTGGAAGGTAAACCTTGCCCCAGTCTGAGGTCTTGAGCGCTCTGGAGCAGGTTTTCATCAAGGATCTCTCTGTACTTTGCTCCATTCATCTTTCCCTCGATCCTGACTAGTCTCCCAGTCCCTGCCGCTGAAAAACATCCTCACAGCATGATACTGCCACCACCATGCTTCACCATAGAGATGGAGCCAGGTTTCCTTCCAGACGTGGCGCTTGGCATTCAGGCCAAAGAGTTCAATCTTGTTTCTCATGGTCTGAGTCCTTTAGTTGCCTTTTGGCAAACTCCAAACGGGCTGTCATATACCTTTTACTGAGGAGTGGCTTCCGTCTGGCCACTCTACCATAAAGGCCTGATTGGTGGAGTGCTGCAGAGATGTTTGTCATTCTGGAAGGTTCTCCCATCCCCACAGTAGAATTCTGGAGCTCTGTAAGAGTGGCTATCAGGTTCTTGGTCACCTCCCAGACCAATGATTGCTCAGTTTGGCCAGGTGGCCAGCTCTAGGAAGAGTCTTGGTCATTTCAAACTTCTTCCATTTGAGAATGATGGAGGCCACTGTGTTATTGGGGACCTTCAATGCTGCAGAAATGTTTTGGTACCCTTCCCCAGATCTGTGCTTCGACACAATCCTGTCTCTGAGCTCTATGGACTCATGGCTTAGTCTTTGCTCTGACATGCACTGTCAACTGTGGGACCTTATATAGACAGCTGTGTGCCTTTCCAAATCATGTCCAATCAATTGAATTTACCACAGGTGGACTCCAATCAAGTTGTAGCAACATCTCAAGGATGATCAATGGAAACAGGATGCACCTGAGCTCAATTTCGAGTGTCATAGCAAAGGGTCTGAACCCTTATGTAAATAAGGTATTTCTGTTTTTTTTATTTATTATTAATTTCTAAAGATTTTTAAAAACCTGTTTTCACTTTGTCATTATGGGGTATTGTGTGAAGATTGATGAAGAACATGTTTTATTTAATCAATTTTAGAATAAGTCTGTAACGTAACAAAATGTGGAAAAAGTTAAGGGGTCTGAATACTTTCCGAATGCACTGTAGCTTTAAGGATATGTATTGGTGCATTTAAATCAACATCTGTATGTGCCTTACTAGTTGAGCCAGGTGAGATGCGTTTGGATATACGGTGTAAAAAAAATAATTAGCTTATTGGGTTAGGTTGAAAGGCTGTGAGGTTGAGCATCCCACTGCTACTGTTCTAGATGACTGTTAGGAATATACTAATAGACAAGGCAGTGGTTTTGGTTGGACAGTTGGAAAGCTTGCTGATGAGAGTGGGTTGAGGGAGTTGGAGGTTGGTCCTTCAGTGGTGATAGAGGATGTTCCTCCATGGTTTCTCCCAGATCCTGTTGTTGATCTAACCTTGGTAGAGAAAAGCAAAGATTGGTCAGAAGTCAGTGATATAGGGAAACTGGTTGACAATTACATTGGTATATGTTTTTATGCTTTTTTACCGCTTTTCACAGATGGATCGAAGGACACAGATAGTGGGCGCACAGGAGCAGGTGTTTACGTTCCTGAATTTGATGTGCAGATATATAGTAGACTAACAGATGAACTGTCAGTATACTCAGTTGAACTGTTGGTGATAGTAGTTGCCCTCCAGTGGGTGGAAGACATACAACCTGTTAGAATTATAGTATGCTTAGATTCTCTGTCTGTATTGAATAGTTTATCATCTGGTAAATCTATTAGGAGTGATCTACTATTGGAGATATTAATGTTATTATGGAGAATTGAGAGACTGGGTAGTAGTGAGATTCTGCTAAGTCCCAGCACATTCGGGTATGGAAGGTAATGAAATTGTAGACCAATTAGCCGAAAGAGCTTTGAAACAAGATATAATTATATTAATGTTACACTGGGTAGAGGTGAGGCCAAATGTAAGATCAGAGCCATTTTGATAGATGTGTGGCAGAAGAGATGGGACTCTGAGGCCAAGGGCCGGCATTTATATGCCCTCCAAAGAAAGGTTGGTGGACCAAGATTCAAAGGTCAGATTAGGAAGGAAGAGGTGGTGTTTGCTCGATTGCGCTTAGGACATTGTACATTGAACTCGTCATTACATCTGGTTGGCAAGCATGTGAATGGTTTGTGTCTGGAGTGTATGGTCAATGAAACGGTGGAGCATGTGTTGTTATATTGTTGTAAGTATATTGAAGAGAGGGAAAGATTGATGTGTAGGGTCGTTGAGGTTTGACGGGGTTGGGAGGGTTTGGAAGGGATTTTGGGGATCGGGGAGGGTCTATTAGTAGGGCTCTTTTTTTTATTTTCTAAGAAGTACTGTGTTAGGTAGGAGGATTTAGAAATGTTGTAAACCGTGATTGACCAGACACTCCAGCACTATAGGTGGCGTCATGCACCTTTAACGTTTGTTTGCAGACCGCTGTTATATCATAGAAGAAGAAGGGTGTTCCTTAACTGTATCTGCATAATGTGACTTTTGTTTCGAAACCAGCTGCAAAGTGTAAGCAGAGTTTGGTAAAAGTTTGAAAGACTTCTCTAAAAAGTAACATGTGATTATTTATGCGACAAACGTGTGTGATTAATCAGGCAGGCAGACAGAAAAAGAAAGAAAGTGGTTGTCCCACTGGCTATCATAAGTTGAATGCACCAATTTGTAAGTCGCTCTGGATAAGAGCGTCTGCTAAATGATGTAAATGTAAAGGTTTGTTCCTTTGGTTACATGGCGCTATCAACGCTGAAAGCAAAGAGAGAAAAACAACTGCTGAAACTATTCGCACTAGCTAGGTAATATAGCTAAGTAGCTAGCTAGCCAGTTGCCATTCATATGCAAATACTTTTGTCCAACGTTGCTGTTACAACGATAAAGTAGACATTGTTGCTATCCCCTAACGTTAGCTACATTAGCTAGCTAAATTAATGCCAACAATTTGCTAGCTAAGGTTAGCTGCAGCATGGCAACAGCGGTTCCTGCTCTGAAGCTTGACCAACAGGTCGAAGACAAAAGGGGTTTGTTCACCACTGCCTTGTCGGAGGAAGTGCTCGTGGAGGCGCGTCTTGAACGGGCCATCTGCCGGGTCCAGCAGCATCTTACTATCACCTGGAAGGAGAGGGGACCGGCCTGAACACATTCACGTTATAACAAACAAAGCCATTGAACGATTAGTTACCGGAGTGTAACTCCAGTTCTATGAGTGGAGCGGAGCCCCATAGGGGAGCTCTGCTCCTATTGGTTTACCCTCTGCCCTAAGGCAGCATCAGCCTGAGACAAAATTATGCACACACCTGCAGCCAATAGGAGTACAGGTGTCCCTATAAGAGGGGATGCCTCCCCTCAATCAGCCTCCCGAGATATTTTTCTTCAGCGAGACTAGAGAGGGTCGGCAGGGCCTTAAGTCCTGTGGGGCTCCGCTCCACTCATAGAACTGGAGTTACACTCCGGTAACTAATCGTTCTATATCGTGGAGCTCCGCCCAATAGGGGAGCTCTGCTCCTATTGGTTTAAGGCGGAGCGTAGCGCTCCAAAATGTACTCCCTGCCGAGCCCAACACTTCCCATCGAAACGAAAAGGTCAGGCCTAGCAATGGCTGCGACAATATACCGCGTCATCGGTTAAAAACCGCTGCTCAGAGACCGCCCCACTCACTCAATGGAATCCCAAGATTAGTGGGCAGGAACAAAACATGAGTCATACTAAACTGAACAAGCAGATAGATGACCTCACATTCTGTCAATCAACGCATGCCTCTACTGTACTAAACCTGTCAGTCAGGAGTCATGCCACAAAATATGTTTTCTTATCCAAAAGCGGAGTTGATGGAAACCTTGTCCATAGTCCTGCTTTTTCTCTCTTCCTAGCTCAAAATCTCCCTTTAGCTATGCTGAGTACAGACCGAGCCAAAGAGTTAGAAAACACATCTGTCGAAAACACGTCTTCCTAACCAAAGCGGACCTGATGGAAACCTGTGTCCACAGTCCTGCTTCTCTTCTCCTTCTTGCTCAAGATCTCCTTCAGCCACGCTGAGTACAGATCGAGCCAGAGAGTTAGAAGGCATATCTAAGAGATAGAAACTGATAAATGGAGACGGCGTCGACCATGATGCTGCTCTACAGATATCCTCTACCCCTGTTCCTCTGAAAAGGGCAGTAGAAGCCGCTACTCCACGAGTGGAGTGAGCTCTGATACCCTGAGGCAATTGCCGCCCCGCTGCCTCATAAGCTGTCTCAATGCCTTCACAAAGCCAGTGAGACAACCGCTGTTTTGAAAGTGGTCTACCTAGTGCAGCCGCACCGTGACACACAAACAACTGAGGCGATGACCTAATCGCTGCTGTGCGCTCGACGTAACACGCCAAAGTGCGTACCGGGCACAGGCGATGGAGCTTTTCCTCACTCCTCTCTCTATGAGGAGGAGGAGAAAAAGCCCACAGCTCCACGGTCTGTGACCTATATGAACTCTTAATAACCTTCGGCACAAATGCCGGGTTAGGACGTAACACTGCTCTGCTCAGGTCACCATTGATGGCCAAGCAGTCAGGTCTCGTCGAAAGAGCACACAAATCACTGACCCGCTTAGCTGTAGTCAAAGCGAGCAACAGTGCTGTCTTTATAGACAGCATCTTGAGGGGTATTTGATTCAATGGATCGAACGGCGACTTACATAGCGCTTCGAGTACCAAAGCCAAATCCCACTGAGGAAGCGTGACTCTAGGTGTTGGCCTAAGTCGCCGCGTTCCTAATAGGAAGCGTTTCACTAGAGGGTGGCTAAAGACATTGTCTCTGCCAAAACCCTCATGACAAGCTGACATCGCTGCTGCAAACACTCTAATCGTGGCAGGCGATTTTTGCTTATCAAACATGAGCTGTAGAAAAGAGAGAATACTCTCCACCTGACAGCTCATGGGGTCTACACCTTGTGTGACACACCATCGTGAAAACACGTTCCATCTACTGGCATACATCTTAGAAGTGGAACTGGCACGTGAACCCTGTATGGTCCTGATCACTGCATCAGATAACCCACGGCGCTTTAGCCTGTCCCTCTCAGCAGCCAGGTCTTCAGTGGTTGGCCGATTATGGGCAATTTCCCTATCGTGCCTCCTGCCTGAGACAACGCGTCCCGTCGATGTGGAATTGGCCAAGGTGGCGCAATCAACATCTGACTCATCTCCGCAAACCAAGGAGCCCCCGGGCGATCGGGCGCTATCAGTATCACTGACAGCCCCCCTGACCTCACCCTGGCTAGCAGTGGGAGAATGCAGGACAGCGGAGGGAATGCATACAGGAGAACTCTCGGCCACGGTTGGTGCGCAAAGGCGTCCCTTCCCAGTGGCGGTTCGTCCTGTTCCCTCAGAGAGAACCACAGAGGACATTGCGCGTTCACGCGTGACGCGAATAGGTCCACCTCGGCTCTCCCAAATTGTTCCCAAATCTGGAGAACAATGTCCGGATGCAGACACCACTCGTCGTCTCGAGGACCCCCTCTTGACATGAGGTCTGCTCCTACGTTCAAGTAGCCCGGAATGTGTGCTGCTCTCAATGAGCGAAGGTGCTCGTGAGCCCACAGCCACAATTCCTCTGCCGCTCGATGGAGAGCAGGAGACCTGACTCCTCCCTGCCGATTTATGTGGGCTACTGTGGTCCGGTTGTCTGACCAGACCAGCACATCGCGACCCCGAAGGGTAGACGCGAAGTGGGTCAGAACCAGTCAAACCGTTTCTAACTCCAGGAGGTTGATATGACGACCTGATTGAGGCCACACACCTCCTATCGCTTGTGTCTGACATGTCCCTCCCCATCCCGTCAGGGACGCATCCGTGAATACTGGGATGTGAGAGGACACCTTTCCTATCGGGACTCCGTGCGTGAGAACGCGCGGGTTTCTCCAATAGTTCAGGTCTGCACTGAGCGAGAGGGGAACCACCACCAACCGATGACGTTGACGCAATGGGTCTAGTCTTAGTTGGGCGAACCATCGCTGCATCCTGCGCATATGCAGGAGTCCCAGCGGAACCACAGAGTGGGCTGACGACATGAGACCCAAAAGTGACATGATCGACAGCGCCGTCACCGTGTGATTCGGACGACACTTCCTTAGGGCTAGCAACAAGGCTACCCTTCGGGGGTCCGAAATTCGAGCCCTCATCCTCACAGTGTCTAGCTGTATCCCCAGGTAGACAATCTGATGAGTGGGCCAGGGCGCGCTCTTTTTCCAATTCACAGCAAACCCCAGACTTGTGAGATGCATCACTGTCTGTGTTGTGTGAGTGATCGCCAGCTCTGCTGACGGGGCGAGAACCAGTAGGTCGTCCAGGTAGGCTAGTAGCCGTATTCCCTGACGACGCAACGGTTCCAATGCCGCCTCCACACACTTGGAAAATGTGCGAGGTGCCAGGGCGTACCCAAATGGCATCCTCGTGTATTCGTACGCCACCCCTTGAAAGGCGAACCGCAGAAACTTCCTGTGACGCGGCTGAACCGGCACATGAAAGTACGCGTCCTTTAGGTCTATGCTCGTACAAAAGTCCCCTCTCTGGACACATTCCAGCAGACGTTTTGTCGTTAGCATTCGGAAGGGCCGTTTGGTTATGCTCTCGTTGAAAATGCGTAAATCCAAAATCGGCCTCACTCCCCCCGTCTTTTTGGGCACTAGGAAATAAGGCGAATATAGCCCTTTGTTCCTTTGATCCCGGGGAACTACTGTCACAGCCTACTTTGCCAAAAGTTCCATAATCTCTGTCATCAGAGCGGCCACTTTGTCTGGCGTTTTCATCACCGTCTCCACCACTCCCCTGAACGGGGGTGGGGTCCGGTGGAATTGGAGAGCATAACCCTTCTGCAACGTCTGTTTTAGCCAGCGTGAGAGGGTGCAGCTTCTTCGCCACTGCCAGCAATGCAGAGAAAGCGGCTGAGCACGAAGCTGTGGTGCATCCAATAGGAAGGACCTGTATTCCTCTATGGCCCTTACCGCCACTGTTCCCCAACATCGAAGTGGTGGAACAGCCCAAGGTGGGCCTCCCGGGAAAGGGAGAGGAACCATCAATGCGTTCTGAGAGAGAAAGAGGAGCAGGGACGTCGGTTAAACTCGTAACCTTCGTATTCCTGCCCTCCTTGAACGCATCGCGGGTCTGAATTGCGCTGACCGAGGTCACAGCCTGCGGCAGGGCACCATCCCCAGCAAGCGATTGCGTCATCTTAGGTGACTGCAATTCACTATCAGAGCCCTTCACTACAGTACTCCTAGAAGTCTGTAGTATGAGGTCTCTATGAGGTAAAACAAGGCGGCGCCTTGATATCTTCTTAACTTTCACCTTCTGTGTGTGTTCAACTCTGCACCCCTGGTGGATTGATTCACACTCAGTGTGGTGAGTACTAGCTCGTTCTGTCAGGGAAGCCGATACGTTAGTTATACCCATAACCTTAGTAATCCGCCCCTCCGTGAACGTAGCATGGGTCTGAATCGCATTAACCGAGACCTTGGTCTGCGATAATGCGCCGTCCCCAGATAGCTGCTGTGTTACAATGCCTGGGGGCGCCGATACTCTGGACACCTTCGTGACCGCGGTAATCGGGCCCTCCGTGAACGCAGCATGGGTCTGGCTCGTACTAGCGGAGACCTTAGTCTGTGCTAGTGCGCCATCCCCAAAAAGCGGCTGCGTCCTCATGTCAGAATCTGACCGGGACTGCTGCCTGCTATGTAAAACACTTCTTATACGTGAAGTGTGATGTGACGACCTGATTGAGGTCTTATGGATACCTACTCTATGTGCCTGTTCAGCAACGCACCCTCGGTGGGCTGAACGGCTCTTAAAGTGGTAAGGAAGAGAGGGTGAGATTTGAACGCTCTCGGACGTATTATGGAAAAGGAGCTCTTTTTTGACAAAGTCAGGTGGAGCCAACTCTTTATTAAATACATCAACAAAGGCATTTACATCAACACCCATCCCTTCAATCGAAGGGTGGGGGGGAACAGTGGGCGCTTTCGACACCATCGATGCGTCCTCCATCCACTCCCCCGCGTCCCGTCACGTACGCCTCCTCTTGCCTCCCTTCACGTCACCTCCCTCGCCGGCTGTAGTGGGGCTACCGTAGCTGCTGGAAGGGCGGGGCCCGTTCCCTTGCTGCTCATGGCCGCCGGATGACGCCGATTACGCCGCCTTGCCGTAGACCCCGGTCTACTTGGAGGGGCGGAGGTAGATGGCCTTTGGGATGGAGCGGGGCCGAGTCGTCCTGCCAACGGCAGGTGCTTGGCCAGCTGTTTCTTCTCCTCCTCCAGCTTGGAAAAACGCTCCGTCGCCTCTTTGACTGCGACCCCAAAGAGGCCGTCGTCAGAGAGGGGGGCGTTCAAAAGAGACGTCCTGTCTGCCTCTTTCATGGATGTCAAGGACAACCAGAGGTGTCGTTCCCCGACCACCAAAGTGGCCATGGACCTCCCCGCGCAGACTGCGGACGCCTGTGTCAGGTGGAGTATGGCGCCAGAAATTCTGGACGCCTCCTCCACCTCCTCCGGTGCCAGCTCTGTCTTGCCCGTGGTTAAACGGGACAGAGAGGCCGCCAAGAGGGCAATGTTGTTAGCTGCTGCTACAGCTTGGGCTCCCAACCCAAAGGACTTCTCTAACAGCGACGCTGTGAGTCGGTCCTTGTGGGATGGCAACGTGGCCTTCTTGGAAGAGGGCCAAGGGCTCGAATCCGGTACGAGATACGCCGCCATGGCTCTCTCTAACCTGGGGATTCCCTGACCCTGGAACCTTCCTTCCACTCTCGTGAATGGGAGATACGCTTTTACAGGCGAACGCGCCGCTAAAGGTGCCTCCCACGAGCCCTCAACGTACCTAGCCAAAGAAGGCATGGCAGGAGCCACTGGCTCTGCCGCCTTCCTTGGCCTGGAATAAGGACCGCCCTCCATCATATCAACCTCCGGTGCAGAGGGAAGAGGGGGCAGCCTTATCACCAGCCGTTGAGCAGCTCTCTCAATGAGACCCGGAAAATCCGATCTCAGAGAGGCTGCGGCGAAAGAGAGAGCTTCTGATCTCTCAGAGCTCGTATCCCCTTCGCTATAAGGACTACAATCCCTCTCGCTCTCCAAAGGAAAGGGGGGCTTGAAAAGTATGAGGGATGGGGTCCGACTGCTCCATTGGAATGCCAGACTCTTCCTCAAAGTCCTTATCTTCCCCCGAGTCTGCGCCGTCGGACGACGCCTCTGAAGCAGAGGCTAGTATCGACAGCACATCCTCAAGGGGGATGTCCTCCCTGAAAAACGCCCAACGCTGCTTCCTCTCCTTTAAAGAAAGGAGGGCGCAGGAGGCGCAATTCGGGGGACTGCAGACGCCTTCCTTGGCATGCTGGGATCCCAAACACACGAAACACAGGTCGTGGTGGTCACCGGCCGCCATGGAAGTGCATCTGCACTGAGCTCTGAAAAGAGCTTTTGGGGGTGGAAAATCTCCCGGTGTGCTCATTTAGACGACGTTGATGACTGGAATATCAACGGCGTTTTTCGTCCTGAGTCTTGTGCTTCGTCTCTTCTTGGCTCTTCAGTCTAGTCATCCAGTCGCTGAAGAAAAAGGGAGGCTGATTGAGGGGAGGCATCCCCTCTTATAGGGACACCTGTACTCCTATTGGCTGCAGGTGTGTGCATAATTTTGTCTCAGGCTGATGCTGCCTTGGGGCAGAGGGTAAACCAATAGGAGCAGAGCTCCCCTATGGGGCGGAGCTCCACGATATAGAACAGTGAGTTTGACATGTCAACAGGTTGATTCAGCTTTGACATGAATGTGTATTAGCTACTTTGATCACAATATGATCTCTGAAGATGAGTTGAGTTTGCAACTATGGAGAAGAGGCAATGCCAATGGCAGTCTCAATTTCCAAAGCCTGTGACTTGCTTCGCCAAAGGCATCAATATTCAACTGAAACAGAACCACATAAATTGAATATCTACATTATCTGCTGTTGGAAGCAGAACAGATGGGAGTGAGATTGATTGTTTGACTGAAATATAGTCTGATTTGTCTGAAAGAATAGTCTGAAGTTGTCATGTGTTCTGACTTCCAGACCAAGCTCTACAGTGAGGGAAAAAAGTATTTGATCCCCTGCTGATTTTGCCCACTGACAAATAAATGATCAGTCTATAATTTTAATGGTAGGTTTATTTGAACAGTGAGAGACAGAATAACAACAACAAAATCCAGAAAAACGCATGTCAAAAATGTTATAAATTGATTTGCATTTTAAATAGGGAAATAAGTATTTGACCCCCTCTCTATCAGAAAGATTTCTGGCTCTTAAAGGGAGTGCTCCTAATCTCAGCTTGTTACCTGTATAAAAGACAGCTGTCCACAGAAGCAATCAATCAATCAGATTCCAAACTCTCCACCATGGCCAAGACCAAAGAGCTCTCCAAGGATGTCAGGGACAAGATTGTAGACCTACACAAGGGTTACAAGACCATCGCCAAGCAGCTTGGTGAGAAGGTGACAACAGTTGGTGCGATTTATACGCAAATGGAAGTAACACAAAATAACTGTCAATCTCCCTCGGCCTGGGGCTCCATGCAAGATCTCACCTCGTGGAGTTGCAATGATCATGAGAACGGTGAGGAATCAGCCCAGAACTACACGGGAGGATCCTGTCAATGATCTCAAGGCAGCTGGGACCATAGTCACCAAGAAAACAATTGGTAACACACTACGCCGTGAAGGACTGAAATCCTGCAGCGCCCGCAAGGTCCCCCTGCTCAAGAAAGCACATATACAGTCGTCTGATTCAGAGGAGAACTGGGTGAAAGTGTTGTGGTCAGATTAGACCAAAATTGAGCTCTTTGGCATCAACTCAACTCGCCGTGTTTGCAGGAGGAGGAATGCTGCCTATGACCCCAAGAACAGCATCCCCACCGTCAAACATGGAGGTGGAAACATTATGCTTTGGGGGTGTTTTTCTGCTAAGGGGAGAGGACAACTTCACCGCATCAAAGGGACGATGGACGGGGCCATGTACCGTCAAATCTTGGGTGAGAACCTCCTTCCCTCAGCCAGGGCATTGAAAATGGGTCGTGGATGGGTATTCCAGCATGACAATGACCCAAAACACACGGCCAAGGCAACAAGGAGTGGCTCTAGAAGAAGCACATTAAGGTCCTGGAGTGGCCTAGCCAGTCTCCAGACCTTAATCCCATAGAAAATCTGTGGAGGGAGCTGAAGGTTTGAGTTGCCAAACGTCAGGCTCGAAACCTTAATGACTTGGAGGAGTGTGTGCAAACCTGGTGGCCAACTACAAGAAACGTCTGACCTCTGTGATTGCCAACAAGGGTTTTGCCACCAAGTACTAAGTCATGTTTTGCAGAGGGGTCAAATACTTATTTCCCTCATTAAAATGCAAATCAATTTATAACATTTTTGACATGTGTTTTTCAGGTTATTTTTGTTGTTGTTTTGTCTCTCACTGTTCAAATAAACCTACCATTAAAATTATAGACTAATCATGTCTTTGTCAGTGGGCAAACGTACAAAATCAGCAGGGGATCAAATAATATTTTTCCTCACTGTATGTGCATGAAAATGAGTAGAGTTGTTTATGTTTCCACTATTTACAAACACTTTCTTTGGTTTTATCCAAATGTTATCTGCCTAAGGAGGGCATGTGAGATCCTTTGATCTCAGCCATCTCTACAGACAGACACTCCTTGCACAGCCAGCAGATGGTGGTATTCACCTAAGATTTAAAAAAATATATTTCATGAGTGTGAACCACTGAAGTGTCTCCCTTTGTTGCTGTTGTAGCCTGGCATGTCTGACGGCCCTGGGCCGCTATACTCACTGTCTGAGGCTGGTTAGTAACTGGCTAGAGATAGACTCTCAGACCTCAGATCTGTACACGCTCAGAGCACATCTCCACAAACAGCTCAACCAGGTCAGCAGTACACTCTCACACTCCGTTACCTCGGTGTTAACGCTTGGCAATATCTGACAGAACCATGCTATAAAGAACGCAGGTGTGACTATTTCTAGCACCAAATACAATTTCAACCACTAACCTTATGAATAATAAATAATAATATGCCATTTAGCAGACACTTTTATCCAAAGCGACTTACAGTCACGCATGCATACATTTTTGTGTATGGGGTGGTCCCGGGGATCGAACCCACTACCTTGGCGTTACAAGCGCCGTGCTCTACCAGCTGAGCTACTGAGGACCACATGAACTGTAACCTTTGGGACAAATGGCTTATGTACTAGCTCAACACTTGTTTGTCATTTCCACTTTTGTCCGTTCTGACATGGCCATCTAGTGACTACCTATAAAATGATTTAAAAAGTATAATTTACATGCATTCTAATGTAATGACAGGACCATTCTTCATTAGTGATGGGGGAAAAAATCGATACAGTTACATATCGCAATGTTATTTTTGGATGATATTATATAGATATTTGACTCGCAAAAATTGCTACTGTAGGTAGAGTAGCTAGCGCTAGTCAGCTGTACCTCTGCCAAAACCCAAGTATTTTTCATCCTATAGCTTGTTCTCCATCTTCTTTTTAAATAGTGAGCCAACATGTTTTCAGCACTTTTATTTCCCTGACTGATCAACTTGTTTTCTCATGCTCTCTCTTGTATCTCTGCAGCAGACATATAGTGAGCAATATGTTTGGAACATCAAATCGCAATAAAATTGCAGTATGGAATCGCAATACAATAAGAATCTTGAGAATCGCAATACATATCTTATTGGCACTAAGTATCGTGATAATATCGTATCGTAAGGTCCTTGGCAATTACCAGCCCATTTTTTCCATACAGGTAACACAGTGCTACCATGATCTGAGGTCAGCCTTGGCCCTCAGTCCGTCGTGCCTAGAGGCAGGTGCCCTGCTGGGCTAGAGGAGGCCAGTAAGAGGGCCAGACAGCAGGCTGTCAGCAGGGCCCTGGCAGGGAAGCTCACAGAGGCCCTGTCCAAGGTCAACACGGCCCTGGAGCATTGCCATGAGACTGAAGAACGATCTGGCCTTAATAGCCATGTACTCTTATAATCTCCACCCCGGCACAGCCAGAAGAGGACTGGCCACCCCTTAGAGCCTGGTTCCTCTCTAGATTTCTTCCTAGGTGCCTGCCTTTCTAGAGTTTCTCCTAGCCACTGTGCCTTTTACATCTGTATTGCTTGCTGTTTGGGGTTTTAGGCTGGGTTTCTGTATAACCACTTTGTGACATCTGTTGATGTATTTATCTGTATGTCTAGGTTCTGATACAGCAAGCAAGGGTGTTGATTAGGCCTGTGGTTTAGCTGATACATGCCTGGTTGATCCCATTTTACCAGACTACCAATGAAGAGATATACACTGAGTGCACAAAACATGAAGAATACAATCATATTTTTGAGTTGCAACCCCCCCCCCCCCCTTTTTTTGCCCTCAGAACAGCCTCAATTAGTGCATGGACAACAAGGTGTCGAAAGCGTTCCACATGGACGCTGGCCCATGTTGACTCCAATGCTTCCCACAGTTGTGCCAAGTTGGCTGGAAGTCCTTTGGGTGGTGGACCATTCTTGAGTGAAAAGCCACCAACTACCATACCCCTGTTCAAAGGCATTTAAATCTTTTGTCTTGCCCATTCAACCTCTGAATGGCACACATACACAATCCATTGTCTCAAGGCTTAACAATCCTTCTTTAACCTGTCTCCTCCCCTTCATCTGCACTGATTGAAGTGGATTTAACAAGTGACATCAATAAGGGATCATAGCTTTCACCTGGTCAGTCTATGTCATGGAAAGAGCAGGTGGTCATAATGTTTTGTACACTCAGTACATGTTCTTGTTAGAAGCTAGAAGCTTGATAATGTTGACACATGTTATCAGACCGATTCTCCTCTACCAATCTACAGTATAATATAATAATATGCCATTTAGCAGACGCTTTTATCCAAAGCGACTTACAGTCATGCGTGCATACATTTATTTTATTATTATTTTTGATTTTTTTTGTGTATGGGTGGTCCCGGGGATCGAACCCACTACCTTGGCGTTACAAGCGCCGTGCTCTACCAGCTGAGCTACAGAGGACCACGGTAAACGAATGAGGTTACATACAGTACATTATTTGTTATGATTTGCTCCATACTGTCTATTATCCACTAATATGTAGTATTTTGCACCATAGGGGTATTCTGTACCGCAGGCTGAAAGACTTCACTTCTGTCATTGAGGACCTGGTCCTGGCTGTGGAGCTGAGTGAGGCTTGACTCCAGGGGGCGGAGCCGAGCAGAGACACCCAGGAAGACCTGGGTGTGCAGGAGGAGGCCCAGGCCCAGCTGGTGCTCACCTATAACGACTTTGCCGTGCAGTGCTTTTCCTGTAGCTCCTCCATGCTGCTCAGCAAGGCTATCCAGGAGCAGAAGGAGGAAAGCGGCCTTTACATTAACTGAGGAGGTGAGGGGAAAGGAGAGGACGGGAAGGGAGTTATGTTTGAGGGGGTGGGAGGAAGTGGAGGCGAAGGAGGTGAGTTTGGCTGAGGTAAAATGAGGTGAGAGAGGTTGTGGGCTCCCTCTTGAAAAAGGTGCAATTGAAGTCTGGCCCTGTGAAATAGCAATAGTGTGTGAATATAGACGGTGGGCCGGAGTCTCTGAGATCAAGAGAGGATGTGTTTAAAGTGACTGGAGAGTTGATTTCATATCACCTCACAGACCTTGAATACATCAATGCATAAAGTCAGTACATATAGCCATTATATCCCATTTCAGAAAGGAGTGCATCTGAGTAGACAGTAGATATCACCTCTGCTATTTACAGAGGTGGTTGTGGTTTGTGCAGACTGTTTCTTCAAGCAGGAAGAGTGGGAGTTTGCCCTGGCTGACTACCAACAGGCGGAGGAGATGACTCCTGATGACCAGGCCATCTGGATCCGCCTTGCTGTCATCCACAACACCCTGGGTACACACTGCTATCAGGACTGGTGAGTCTCAGTCTGTCATCCATAACACTGTATTGTCTTCACCGCAGGAAGTACCAGGAGGCAGCTCTGAGAAGTTGTCTGAAGCCATCAAGTACAACCCTTGAGTCAGCCAGGACTATGAGAACCGGGCCAAAGCCCCACCGTAAAGTGCCTAACGAGGAGGGGGCCAAGTAGGATGCTATCAGTACCCTTGTCCTGGACCCCACTAATGATCAGGCAAGACCCTCAATGCCTGTACTGTATGTCTCATCCACTCTGTCCATAATACTGAGCTGTTATGGCAAGGGCCTAATGTGGACTAAGGACCCTAGTTATGCAAGTACTAAGCTCTCACCACTTGCTTCCTATGCAGATTGGGGGGAAAAAAATAAGTGTTTTTTTATAAGTATATGAACAGGTTATTCTTTCTTTTAACGCACATTTCATTTTATGTAATACATGTTTCATAAAGTGGTGCGGAACTCCCACTTGGTGCAGAACTGACTGCTGTAGTAAATCTGTCCCTCTGTCTGCATGTGTTTTTCAGGTTTCAAGTTTTAATGTCACATGCACAAGTACAGTGAAATGCCTTCCCTGCCAGCTCTAACCCCAACAATGCAGTAATCAATAACAATGTAATACTAAAAATAACAAGGTAGAGCAAACCACACGAGATATAGAAATAAGAAGAACACAATAAAATAAGTCAGCATACTATTCACAGGGTCAGTTCCAGTACCATATATATGCAGGGATACTGGATCGATAGAGGTAGATACTGTATGTAAAGTGCATTTGGAAAGTATTCAGACCTCTTGACTTTTTCCACATTTTGTTACGTTACAGCCTTCTTCTAAAATGGATTAAAAATAATAATAATCCTCATCAATCTACACACAATACCCCATAATGACAAAGCGAAAACTGGTTATTAGAAATGTTTGCACAATTATTAAAAAAAACAAGAACAGAAATACCTTATTTACATAAGTATTCAGACCCTTTGCTATGAGACTCGAAATGGAGCTCAGGTGCATTCTGTTTCCATTGATCATCCTTGAGATGTTTCTACAACTTGTTTGGAGTCCACCTGTGGTCAATTCAATTGATTGGACATGATTTGGAAAGGCACACACCTGTCTATATAAGGTCCCACAGTTGACAGTGCAGGATTGTGTCGAGGCACAGATCTGGGGAAGTGTACCAAAAAATGTCTGCCTTCATGAAGGTCCCCAAGAACACAGTGGCCTCCATCATTCTTAAATGGAAGAAGTTTGGAACCACCAAGACTCTTCCTAGAGCTGGCCGCCTGGCCAAACTGAGCAATCGGGGGAGAAGGGCCTTGGTCAGGGAGGTGACCAAGAACCCGATGGTCACTCTGACAGAGCTCCAGAGTTCCTCTGTGGAGATGGAAGGACCTTCCAGAAGGACAACCATCTCTGCAGCACTCCACCAATCAGGCCTTTATGGTAGAGTGGCCAGATGGAAGCCACTCCTCAGTAAAAGGCACATTCCAGCCTGCTTGGAATTTGCCAAAAGGCAACTAAGATAGGCAACTAACTAACAAGATTCTCTGGTCTGATGAAACCAAGATTGAACACTTTGGCCTGAATGCCAAGTGTCATGTCTGGAGGAAACCTGGCACAATCCCTACGGTGAAGCATGGTGGTGACAGCATCATGCTGTGGGGATGTTTTTCAGCGGCAGGGACTGGGAGACTAGTCAGGATCGAGGCAAAGATGAACGGAGCAAAGTACACAGAGATAATTGATGAAAACCTGCTGCAGAGCGCTCAGGACCTCAGACTGGGGCGAAGGTTCACCTTCCAACAGTACAATGACCCTAAGCACACAGCCAAGCCAACGCAGGAGTGGCTTCGGGTCAAGTCTCTGAATGTCCTTGAGTGGCCCAGCCAGAGCCCGGACTCAAACATCTCTGGAGAGACCTGAAAATAGCTGTGCAGCAACTCTCCCCATACAACCTGACAGAGCTTGAGAGGATCTGCAGAGAAGAATGGGAGAAACTCCCCAAATACAGGTGTGCCAAGCTTGTAGCGTCATACCCAAGAAGACTCATGGCTGTAATTGCTGCCAAAGGTGCTTCAACAAAGTACAGAGTAAAGGGTCTGAATACTAATGTAAATGTGATATTTCAGTTTTTCCATTCTTTATAAATTAGCAAAAAATTCTTACCCTATTTTTGCTTTGTCATTATGGGGATGTTATTCGAAAACATAATGTTAACTTTCACTGCTATGCGGATGACACACAGCTGTACATTTCAATGAAGCATGGTGAAGCCCCAAAATTGCCCTCGCTAGAAGCCTGTGTTTCAGACATAAGGAAGTGGATGGCTGAAAACTTTTTACTTTTAAACTCGGACAAAACAGAGATGCTTGATCTAGGTCCCAAGAAACAAAGAGATCTTCTGTTAAATCTGACAATTCATCTTGATGGTTGTAAAGTCATCTCAAATAAAACTGTGAAGGACCTAGGCGTTACTCTTGACCCTGATCTCTCTTTTGACGAACATATCAAGACTGTTTCAAGGACAGCTTTTTTCCATCTACGTAACATTGCAAAAATCAGAAATTTTCTGTCCAAAAATGATGCAGAAAAATTAATCCATGCATTTGTTACTTCTAGGTTAGACTACTGCAATGCTCTATTTTCCGGCTACCCGGATAAAGCACTAAATAAACTTCAGTTAGTGCTAAATACGGCTGCTAGAATCCTGACTAGAACCAAGAAATTTGATCATATTACTCCAGTGCTAGCTTCCCTACACTGGCTTCCTGTTAAGGCAAGGGCTGATTTCAAGGTTTTACTGTTAACCTATAAAGCGTTACATGGGCTTGCTCCTACCTATCTTTCCGAGTTGGTCCTGCCGTACATACCAATACGTACGCTACGGTCACAAGACGCAGGCCTCCTAATTGTCCCTAGAATTTCTAAGCAAACAGCGGGAGGCAGGGCTTTCTCCTATAGATCTCCATTTTTATGGAACAGTCTGCCTACCCATGTGAGAGACGCAGACTCGGTCTCAACCTTTAAGTCTTTACTGAAGACTTATCTCTTCAGTAGGTCATATGATTGAGTGTAGTCTGGCCCAGGAGTGTGAAGGTGAACGGAAAGGCTGGAGCAACGAACAGCCCTTGCTGTCTCTGCCAGGCCGGTTCCCCTCTCCACTGGGGTTCTCTGCCTCTAACCCTGTTGCAGGGGCTGAGTCACTGGCTTGCTGGTGCTCTTTCATGCCGTCCCTGGGAGGGGTGCGTCACTTGAGTGGGTTGAGTTACTGACGTGATCTTCCTGTCTGGGTTGGCGCCCCCCCCTTGGTTTGTGCTGTGGTGGAGACCTCTGTGGGCTATACTCGGCCTTGTCTCAGGATTGTAAGTTGGTGGTTGGGGATATCCCTCTAGTGGTGCGGGGGCTGTGCTTTGGCGGAGTGGGTGGGGTTATATCCTTCCTGTTTGGCCCTGTCCGGGGGTTTCTTCGGATGGGGCCACAGTGTCTCCGGACCGCTCCTGTCTCAGCCTCCAGTATTTATGCTGCAGTAGTTTATGTGTCGGGGGGCTGGGGTTAGTTGGTTATACCTGGAGTACTTCTCCTGTCTTATCCAGTGTCCTGTGTGAATTTAAGTATGCTCTCTCTAATTCTCTCGTTCTCTCTTTCTCTCTGAGAACCTGAGCCCTAGGACCATACGTCAGGACTACCGGGCATGATGACACCTTGCTATCCCCAGTCCGCCTGGCCTTGCTGCTATTCCAGTTTCAACTGTTCTGCCTGCGGCTACGAAACCCCTACCTGTCCCAGACCTGCTGTTTTCAACTCTAAATGATCGGCTATGAAAAGCCAACTGAGAGACCAGAGCCCTAGGACCATACGTCGGGACTACCGGCCGTGGTGACTCCTTGCTGTCCCCAGTCCGCCTGGCCTTGCTGCTATTCCAGTTTAAACTGTTCTGCCTGCGGTTATGGAACCCCTACCTGTCCCAGACCTGCTGTTTTAAACTCTAATGATCGGCTATGAAAAGCAAGAGATTTGTATATATGTGTGTATGAAATTTAGGATGGGAAATGTAGAATACATATTAAGTAATTTTAGGCATTATATAGGCTGTAACGATATACAACTATTAAATTTGATTGAAAAATTGTATAGTGGTAGTTGGAAAAATACATACTTAATTAGATAGCGTAACGAATTGGAAAAAGTAAAGGGGTCTGAATACTTTCCGAATGCACTGTAAATGTGTGTGCATATTATGTGTGTGTGTGTTTGTTTGTATGTGTGTTGGAGTATTAGTGTGTGTAAGTGTGTAGGGCCCTGTGAGTGTGCAAAAAAATAAATAATAATATACAAGGGTCAACTCAGATAGTCTGTGTAGCCATTTTGTGTGCTTACGTGGCCGCTCTGCTGCTGAGTCTGTTCCCAGGCTGCTCGGTGTCAGATGTGCTGTCCAGTGAGACGGCCAGGATGGTCGAAGCCCAGCTGATGGACAGCATCCAGGCCTGCAAACACTGCATTTTCCGTGCTAAGGTTCGGTTAGGCTAACACTGTTTGTCTACAACCCCTCCCTGCCATGGCTAAAACTGGTCAAACCTGAATCAGAAAGATATATAAGTACTTAATCTTCGCTTGGTTTAGTTTTCCAGGTACAATAGAATGGAATAGCCCCCAAAGTACAGAATCAAAGCTAAATCAAGCACACCTCAAGTACTTTTAATGTTTTTTTAACATATTTATTTAACTCAGGTCTGAAAATGGTCAAAAGGGCGGTTGCACAGATCCAGATGAACACTTCTCCCTGGACAAAAAAAAAGCTTGTTCCATGGAGAGTCTCAATTGGAAGTGCTTTGTTGTCCTTCCTTATATAGCCTAAATATGGGTGTGTACACCAGTCCCAAAGTGTACAAACTAACTGTGGTTGATGCTAATTTCAGATTTTCCCTAACTGTTTCCCCAGAATGTGCAGTGGGCTTGACAAGATGACCCTGTCACATGACGCAGACAGCCAGTCTTACAGCCAATCCTCAGAGGACCAGTCTGACCAGGGGGCGGAGCCGCTTAAAGCCTGTGTGGCACCGCAGTACGTGTACCAGCAGGACAAACTCATCTACCCTCATCTAGTGAGGTCACTCAATAAAGCCCTTCAGTTCAAACTCTCTTTCCATAACTCTTATTCACAAAATCACATAAAACACTCAACTCATGCTTCTCCATTGATCAGTATTTGTTTTAGTTGGGTCCTCCACCCGTTGAGAGCATTGAAAGAGTCTCTCATACTGAGCAGAGGTGCACTTCCTGTGTTGGCTGTGTCAGGTGAAGAGAGCAGTGCTATTGGCCCTTGAACGGCGACAGCCTCTGCAGTGTGACGGGCCCTGTCTGGCCCCCATCCGCACAGTGGAACAGGAGTAGTCTGCACTGGTCTCTAAGGACAGGCTGTACCACTGGAGGAAGTTTGGGGGGTTTGGAGTGAATTCCACATAAGCAGCAACACTATGGTGTTTACTACTCTTAGGGTGACATGGTGGAGTCTGGCCATAGTACTGTAGCTTGAGGTTGTCATGGCACCATATTGTTCTCAAATCCAACAGGTGTCAGTAGAGGCACAGTTTTCCTTAGTTCCACCTCACCTGTTTGGATTTAAAGTAATTTATCCATTAGTCTAGATTGTCAGGGCACAAGGATTTTCTTATGGGATTGTTTTGTAATTTTTATGTCCATAACTATGATTGACAGGCATATGGAGACATGTGAAGGACGTATGACAAAAAGGAAAATGTTGGCCAGTTAGATGAAGGCAGTTCAATGATGTGACAGATATAAATGATAGAGAAACTGTAGCTCTAATGTGTAGATTCTCTACGCTTGAGAATTTAGTTAAATTGCAAAGTTATTGTTCCATGGACCATTTTTTCAACAGTACAGTAAATCTTTATTTTTAACAGATTATTTAGCTATGTAAATTTGCCTGAAAATGAGGTTTTACTCCCGCCAAATTAATAAACATATGTATCAAGATTATAGACAAGTGTATAGATTGAATACACACTCTAAATGTATCTAGAGTTTAAAATATTTGATGTTGGGGATTGTAGCATACTGTACATGGTGGAGACTGGAGAAGAGAGGGGATTGTTTTGAGAGAGAAGCAGCTGCCCCCTCCCTGCTCTGACAGCAGCTATAATAACAGCTGATAAGGAGATTGTGACACTCAACCCTGTAGAAAACACCCCAGCAGCATCTGATCACATGCACTCCATCCACACCAGCAGTTGTTTCAATTACTGAACATACAATACTTCATTTGGATTCATTTGTGATTAGAATGAACGTACAGTACCAATTCTACTCAAGCTCCCCCTTGCATGTATAAGCCGTCATTGAGAGCAGTGGCATAGTCACATGCAGAGTGTGGAATAGCAGAGAAAGTAGATTAAAAAGTACATGTTCACACAGTATGCCCGGTACCACCCAAATCTTCTCAATGGTGTCTGTCCAATGTTTGTGCAGACGACCACGGAGCCCATGCCCAGACTGATGTTAATCATCAGATGGGGTGTTGACGTTGTCGCTCCATTTGGAGAGCGTGGTCGACCGCCGCCTCACAATGCGGTGTCTAGGTGGGGATGGGGCTTGGTTCTGCTCCCTCAGACAGTGTGTGTGGGCTGCAGCCCCTGAACAAAGTGGTCTGGGACAGACAGTGGTCATAAAGGAGCTGAAAAGTGTTTCACCCCCACGCAATAAAAGTTTAAGGTTACCGTCCTGTCAGGAATGGGAAATGCAGCCAGGAGAGCCCAGTGGCTGCCAGGTTCTACCTCAGACAAAAACACCTTTCTCTGGGCACAGGAGCTGGTGGCTTTGCCCCCAGTCAAAAAATTATTGGTGGACTGGAGTAGTTTCATTCACGTTTGGCTGGAGACTGTTTTGTCTAAGACATGCAGAACACGTTTGTAATCTTTGGGTAGTGTTCGGAACAGGTGACGTGCAGCTAACGCACGCCGCTATGTCCTCCTGAAGGGAAATGTAGAATTTTGCAGTTTTATGATGAGAAGGGCTTTAAGTGGATTAGTGCTGCTTGAATTAAGTATGTGCCAGTCAGGGTGTGTATCAATGGTGAAAGAGCTGTTCTTGTGCAAAATAAAATGTCTCCTATACAGAAAGTTATTTTCACGTGTCTGCTCAATTCCATACCTAAAGCAAGGTTGCAGAATCAGATCAAATGAAACATTTTATTTTCAAATATTTATTTTAAAAAGATTTACATACATCATAGTGAAACCATCATGGTTAAATAAAACCCTTCCCATTTCAATAAATAAGTATTATATAAAGTAAAGTTCATCATCAAAACAGTTAGAGAGAGTGAGGCTGAAAAGTAAGGAAACAAAGTCAAAGTTGCTTGGTCACTCAATATACTGGAATAAATACCTGCCGCCTCATTCGAAACATTCTAAAGCACTGCAGTTGGTTTACAGCCTTGTGTCTGGACCGGATTCTGCTGCACTCAAAAGTCTGATGCACCAGATGACATGTTTGGCACCTAGGGGATATATAAAGCGAGTAAAATGTGCTTTTACAATCTTGTAATTTTCATAACCGAATTTAACTGCATAGTTCCTTTCTCAGAGAGAGAGAGCAGCAGACGAAAGGTCCCTCCTGAGAAACATTTGAAGGACAATTTATTCATCTTGGAGAGAAAAAATGTCTGCCGCTTTGTGCTACTCACAAATTTTCCAGTCAGTTTTACAGGCTTGACTCAGGAACCCTTCTCCCTGTCACTCTCCCCATGTTTTGAAGTAAAGGGCTGCTCTCCTGTTTTCTTTACAGGCAGAAGAGACAACCATACTCTTTGTCCTTGAGGGCACAGCACAGGGCTTGACCTTTGTGGATGATGTCTGTGTTCCTGTAACCCTGTATTGTATGACATCGTTCTCTATTTGCTTTCTCTCTGGACATCACCAAGACCAACTGACTCATAAAAGTTTATCTGTCTTGTGGGGTCACTTCCACCCATTCTGTTCTTTGAGCTTGCTGATGTCCAGTCCTTTGTGAACAGGTTTAGTACTGCTAATATCTAGTCTGATGTCCAGTCCCTTCTGAACTGGTTTAGTGCTGCTGAAGTCCAGTGCTCTCTTAACAGTTTTAGTGTTGATGTCCAGTGCTTTCTTAACAGGTGTAGTATTGATGATCTCCCATCCTTTCTTAACAGGTGTAGTGATGTCCAGTGCTTTCTTAACAGGTGTAGTGATGTCCAGTGCTTTCTTAACAGGTGTAGTGATGTCCAGTGCTTTCTTAACAGGTGTAGTGTTGATGTCCAGTGCTTTCTTAACAGGTGTACTAGGTGGGTTGTACAGAGGGAGAGTTGGTGAGCTGCAGGCCCGTGTCCAAGGCCGTTCAGTGGGAATGGTCCAAATGGTTCGAGACGGGGTCTTCTTCTTGTCCTTCTCCTTCGTAGAAGCAGGAAAGGGTGTCTGATAGTACATGACAGAGTGAGAAAAGTTAGAGAAACCTTGGTAAGGAGATGTGTTGGAGAGACAACTAATATTTTTCAGTGCTGAGTTTAGAATCAAAGGTGACTATAGGAGCTTACAGCACATTCTCTCTGACTAGCAATTCAGCAAGTATGTTTGTTCAACTGTAAAATACATGGCAGCGCTGTGAATGATAATCTAAGTTATAGGCAGAATCCAACTTTTCATTGAACAAGCTGAAATGAACTTGTTCTGTACTTTATGCAATCTGTTTATAGCACTGAAACCCTGTGCATTGTTGAGATATAAAGGGTGACATACACAGCAGAGGAGGGTGTAGCAGCTAAGCTTGGCAGGGTTGCTGTCTGTCCCTGCATAGCGGTTCTTCTTTGGTAGCAGCAACACGAAGGACACAGCCATAGACAGGTGGTAGAAACTGTGGACATAGGCATAGTCCCACTCCTGCGAAACAAATTGAAATCAATCATTAAAAAAATGAGACTTTCTGATGTTTCCACTTGTGCAAGCGAAACACAGATCTCAACAAGGATTTAGAATTTGACCATTTAGTATTGCCTTCACTGTGAATGGTAAGGGTAAGGAGGGAGATTGAGTTGTTATGAGACCTCAAAGTAGAAGCGGAGCATCAGAGCCAGGGCACCGAAGCAGCATCCTGGTCCCACCTGTTGGGTGTATACGCTCTTCTCGGGGTAGAGGCCCTTTATCTCTTTCATTTTCTGTAACTGAAATATGATACACAGGATGTGTTTAGAACAAAATAGGTTTAGTTGAAGAGATAATCAATACAATGTTGCTAGGCAATACCTCAACTAAGTATACATTTCACATTGATGAGATTATGAGATATCTTATCAGATTACTGTAAACATGACCATATTAGGGTGTATGGTTATCAGTGTTTGTCATAGCCATATTGTAAGTTGTCATCACACCCATTTGACAGTGATTATGAATACTGCTGATCCTATTGGTCCAGAGTAGATCCCATAGCCCCAGCGGTCCTGGTAGATCCTCACAGCACAGGTCAAAACCCCAAACATGGTCAGAGTAGAACGCTTTGGCTCATCAAAATCCCCTAAAGCTAGAGAGAGAGAGCATGTGAATGAGTGTGTGCGTGCATGCATACAAGTGTTCATGTGTGTGTAAGAGAGAGATTAAATGTGCATGTGTGTGTGTGTGTGTGTGTACAGGAGAGCGTGAGAGACACACAGCACATGCTTCCAAACAACTGTTCAGTGGTACTGAATACAGAACTCACTTGCTCTCTGAACATAGTTTTAGGCCACTTAACACACTCTGATGGTAAGCCATTAAAGTGTCACGATACAACAGTGTGCTGTTTACACTCACCTATCAGTGTGACCCAGATAGAGATGGCTGTTCCGTACACGCTGAAGTACTCCAGGATCTCATACTTCATGAAACATATGATGGAGAGGCCTGGCCCATCACAAGCATGGTAAATCTAGGGTTAAACAGATCCCATAAGTTTAAAGTACAACAGTATTACACAGTAACTTCATTTCTGTTCATTTCAGTTCTGATAGGACAACAAATACTCTCTGGTAGGTTAGCAGTGATACAGACACAAAGTAAAAATAGACCCACACTTTAAGGTTGTAATCATATGTACCCCAAGAAATGACTGAAATGACTGTACAAGGGACTGTACCACAGGAGGTTGGTGGCACCTTAATTGGGGAGGACGGGCTCGTGGTAATGGCTGAGGTGGAATTGTGGAATGGTATCAAATACATCAAACGCCATTCCATTTACTCCGTTCCAGCTATTATTATGAGCCGTCCTCCACTCAGCAGCCCCCACTGGACTGTACAATGCATTTTCTTCAGTATTACAGTACTAATCATAGCTTCTTTGAAGTTGTCTACACAATCACTCACAAGTACAGAACACACACACAGCCCCACTCACAAGCAGTGTCAGTAATACACAGACAGTCTCCGTAATATAGGACTGCACATCGTCAACATCTCAGTGTCTTGCCATGGTTCTTACCGTGGTGAAGAACATGGTGAAGAAGTAGACCATGGCCTCCATGTGGAAGCCTCTCTTGGTGGCCACACTGGCTGCAGGCAGGAACACCAGGCTACTAACGGTGGGCAGTAGCATCTTGGCAATGTAGGCTCCCATGGTGGCTAACTACAGCAACACCAACTCGCTGGGTGTTGGGTATCTGGTGCAGATGATCTAGTATTGCTCTTGATAGATAGTTTGATCTGATCCAAGTTTTCAACCAGCAATAATCACACCTCAGCTGAATTGATATTGATACAGGCTGTCTACAGTAGTACTGCTCTGGCAGCGCTGGATGGGAAGATGTCCTTTGAGTACCTTAGTCTCTTAGTCCTCTCCCAGAGAAATAAGAGAGCTGGTAAGTGGACAGGGAAATGTACAACACACCACACACACTCTCACACACAGCTGTCCTGTTTGAGCTCTTTAAAGTTTAAATTTCCCCCAGTGAGGCGAGGCCACAGTGAGTCATGTATGTGCACTGTCATCGTAGGACAGCTGTCTGCATACCAGGTCTAGCAGGCACGGCTGGGAGGGGAGAGTGGTCGCATGCCATGACATTGTGGCATATTTGTGAAGTGTCGTATTTCAGGTCAATGGTGAAGCATAAATTAGATTCAAAGCACTGTCATGGGTTTTGTTGTGGTTGTATGATTGTTATTGAGAACCTCCATCTCTTGTGTCAGTCACTAGACAAGTTAACTTTTTAGCAGTGGATCTGTTGGTCTCCCATACAGAGAAACACTGCTCGTCTGAATTTGCCAATGGTGTTGTGACAATGCAATACCAGTCCATCCCAGGCAGCACTCATAAAGTACTTTTACGAGTATGTATTGTACATTGAATCAATGTTTTTCCAGAGCCAATCGTGAAGTAGCAAGTATAAAACGTGCATGGATCTAATTCAATTAGGAGATGGTGGTAGAGAGGGAGCCCTTTAAGCCCTTAGATTAGCTGGTGGTGCAGCAGTTGCCCTCTCCTCTCCTTCACTCCTCCTTTCCTTCTCTCCTCCTCTCCTCCCTGCTCAGCTGTTGCACCTGCCCTGTGGGGCTGAGGGGGAACACAAAGGGTGCAGTGTAGTTGGGAACACACCCCACGCCTCAGATTCCTGGAGGGACTCCGTAACATGAGCATTCAGGACATGGTCAGAACGGCACTCTCAGGCTTGGCTTGGGGACCCCTATGGGCTGGACCCTGCACTCTGTCAGTGTCCTCTCCATACCAGCCCATTGTACAGCCTTTGGGATTTGGAATGGCCCCTGGAATGGGGTGGGCTGGCCCCCATGATTCTGAGGTTGAAGTTCGTGGGCTGAGTCTGTTGAGAGTGCAACGTGAGAGCAGGGGGATAGTTAACAAAATGAAAGTGTATCATTGTTACTTTCACCCCAGCAGGCCCATGCCCCTGCTCTGTCCCTGTCTAAACATGGGCATGGACGGTAGTGTGGGAATGTGGAAGCCAGGGACTTCCTGTAAGCATCTGAGAAAACACTGGGCTTCCTTTTGATTCGCTCATAAATAGTTCTGCCCTCTGCCCTCTAGTTCTTTTACAAATAATTGAAAAGTAGATGTTTTAGTTAATCATCTCTGTGAGCGCACAATTACAAAAAATATATTTGTTTTAAAGCTGTGGGAATGTATCCAAAGTACAGTGCATTCAGAAAGTATTCAGACCCCTTGACTTTTTCCACATTTTGTTACGTTACAGCCTTATTTTGAAATGGTTTAAATCGTTTTTTTCCCTCATCAATTTACACACAATACCTCATAATGACAAAGCAAAAACAGGTTTTTAGAAATGTTTGCAAATTTATAAAAAATTAAAAACTGAAATATCACAATTACATTAGTATTCAGACCCTTTACTCAGTACTTTGTTGAAGCACCTTTGGCAGCGATTACAGCCTCGAGTCTTCTTGGGTATGACGCTACAAGCTTGGCACACCTGTATTTGGGGAGTTTCTCCTATTCTTCTCTGCAGATCCTCTCAAGCTCTGTCAGGTTGGATGGGGAGCGTCGCTGAACAGCTATTTTCAGGTCTCTCCAGAGATGTTCGATCGGGTTCAAGTCCGGGCTCTGGCTGGGCCAATCAAGGACATTCAGTGACTTTTCCTGAAGCCACTCCTGCGTTGTCTTGGCTGTGTGCTTATGGTCATTGTCCTGTTGGAAGGTGAACCTTCACCTCAGTCTGAGAGGACATTCAGAGACTTGTCCTGAAGCCACTCCTGCGTTGTCTTGGCTGTGTGCTTAGGGTCATTGTCCTGTTGGAAGGTGAACCTTCGCCTCAGTCTGAGGTCCTGAGCACTGGAGCAGGTTTTCATCAAGGATCTCTCTGTACTTTGCGCCGTTCATCTTTGCCTCGATCCTGACTAGTCTGCCAGTCCCTGCTGCTGATAAATATCCCCACAGCATGATGCTGCCACCACCATGCTTCACAGTAGTGATGGTGCCAGGTTTCCTCCAGACATGAAGCTTGGCATTCAGGCCAAATAGTTCAAGCTTGGTTTCATCAGACCAGAGATTCTTATTTCTCATGGTCTGAGTGTCCTTTAGGTGCCTTTTGGCAAATACCAAGCTGGCTGTCATGTGCCTTTTACTGAGGAGTAGCGTCCGTCTGGCCACTACCATAAAGGCCTGATTGGTGGAGTGCTGCAGAGATGGTTGTCCTTCTGGAAGGTTCTCCCATCTCCACAGAGGAACTCTGGAGCTCTGTCAGAGTGACCATTGGGTTCTTGGTCACCTCCCTGACTAAGGCCCTTCTCCCCCGATTACTCAGTTTGGCCGGGCGGCCAGCTCTAGAAAGAGTCTTAGTGGTTCCAAACTTCTTCCATTTAGAATGATGGAGGCCACTGTGTTCTTGGGGACCTTCAATGCTGCAGACATTTTTTGGTACCCTTCCCCAGATCTGTGCCTCAACACAACCCTGTCTCGGAGCTCTATGGACAATTCCTTCGACCTCATGGCTTGGTTTTTCCTCTGACATGCACTGTCAACTGTGGGACCTTATATAGACAGGTGTGTGCCTTTCCAAATCGGTCCAATCAATTGAATTGACCACAGGTGGACTCCAATCAAGTTGTAGAAACATCTCAAGGATGATCAATGGAAACAGGATGCACCTGAGCTCAATTTCGAGTGTCATAGCAAAGATTCTGAATACTTATGTAAATAAGGTATTTCTGTTTTTTATTACATTTGCAAACATTTATAAAACCCTGTTTTTGCTTTATAATTATGGGGTATTGTGTGTAGATTTATGAGGATTTTTTTCATTTGATCTATTTTTGAATAAGGCTGTAACGCAACAAAATGTGGAAAAAGTCAAGCGGTCTGAATACTTTCCGAATGCACTGTATATTTGGAAAGGAAGGTAGATATACATATGAGTATAGAATAGTTTTGTGTATAAACTGTTATTGCGAGTGCATTGTGCTCTACTCCCCATGGAGAAAATATTTCCAGGGCACGTGCATACGTGTGTGTGTGTTGGTATGTAGTTGCATTTTGTGTGTGTGTCAGTCTGTGTCATCTGCTTGATGATGTGTAGGTCTGCCAATCTGTCTGGCTGTCTGACGTCCCGCTGTCTGTCTGTCTGTCTGTCTGTCTGTCTGTCTGTCTGTCTGTCTGTCTGTCTGTCTGTCTGTCTGTGAGCATGAATGTGTCTGTCTAAAGTTCAGTACAAGCCTGAATAAACCTGGGCTGTGAGCCAAGAGGACATCAGAGAATTTTATGACAGCTGCTCTCCTCTCCTGCTGAAGTGGAGCAGTCACTGTGCTTCTAAACTCAGAGGAAATAGGTTAGAATTTGAAAAGATAAGACTATAACCATTGAAATGGACTGAAATCAATTTATCAGGTACCTAGATAGCTTATATACATTTAAGAGAAATGAGACCGTTTAAAAGAAAATGTGTGAAAGACACCTCAGCAGTGAAGAGGTTTATCACTAAACAATTCAGATAGGTTTTATAATTCAGGTTTTAGACATATAAATGATAATTTACTGTAAATTACGTTTTTTCCAGTATTGTTATATCTCAGTTTGGGAATACACCATTTTATTCTAGAACCTCTCTCTCAGTGAAAGAGCGTCATTGACTTAAAAAGTATATATATTTTTTCCAACATCTGTGTAGGGGAAAAAACTCTCTAATGTTTCTTCTTGTCTGTGTGTAGCCGACTAACCATAACACAACACCTCCACGACACATTTCCTCTGTTTGCCTCTGTGAGAGAGAGAGAGAGAGAGAGAGAGAATGCTTCTCGACTTGCAGACTGTTCTCCCCCTGAACTACTGTATGTCTATCACCATATAAATCTGTGTGATGGCATGGAGGATGTGATTGAAGCCTAGCAGTGTAGCAGAGCAGGCCTAATGCACGTAGCAGACACCAAGGCAGTGCAGCAGAGAGAACATGTGGCTGCTGGGTGCAGACGTCGTGGGCAGGCATGGTGGTCCTCCCAGTCCCAGCATCCGTCTCTCTCTCTCTCTCTCTCTCTCTCTGTTGCTCGAGACATTCTAGAGACTCAACCTCTGTCTCTTTCTCTCTGTGCTGCTCAATACATTCTAGAGACTCAACCTCTCACTTTCTCCATAGTTATTTTCTCTTTTTCGTTCACTCTCTTCATTTTGGTTAATTTAACTTTCGCTATGCATATGCTTTCTAATTGAATAGAGATAGGTAAAGGCCTGCTCTGTAACTCATCATTACATACTTAGCCCATTTCCAGGTGTGTTCTCTCCATATAGAAATGTATGAGATGAAAGAGGGGAGCACACAGGGCAAGACACCAGCATCTGAGGAGGAGATGGAAGAAAGGATGTGAGGGGGACTGATAAGATGAGGGGAGGTAGGGTAGGGGGTATGGGGGTATGGGGGGTCGCACTGTGGGAAACAGTGACTTCCTCTGTCTGTCTGCGAGTGGAGCGAAGTGGAGTGGAGGGGGAGAGCAGAGAGAGAGTTGAGCTGCCAGGCTTGGCTTTGGGCTGTCAATAGGACAGAGTCCCCACCACATACAGCAGCAGCAGAGGCAGGAGAGGCAGACCCCAGCGCTTGGCACTGGGCAGGAGCCTCCTGTTTTTCTAGGCGTTCCTCCCTCCCTACTGCCACTCTCTTCCTGCTGCTGGGAGGAGGAGGAGGGGTGGGGTGGAGGAGGGGTGGGGGGGGAGGAGGAGGAGGAGAGGGGCTGAGGGAGGGAGGGGAAGTGGGATGCAAGGCACACACCTTACCTCTCTCTCTCCCTCTGCACACACATCTCTACAGCACCACCACCACCACCACACCACCCACTCTGACCCGGCAACACATAGCTCGGCGGCCCCTGGACTGCAGCTAGGTGAGTGGGTAAATATTTACACTCCTCCAGCCTGTCTGTGTGTTTAAGTGTGTATAAGTGTGTGCGTGTGTGTATGTAAGTGTGTATGTGTGTGTGTTCATATGTGATTTTGTGTGTGTGTCTGTCGTTTTGTGAGGTGGCAGGCGAGCCAATGAGACTTGTCTCCTGTTCCAGACCAAAACAAATCCTCACAATGATGTTTACTTTCCTACAGCGGTGTGTATGTGTGCTGTGTGTGTGTGTGTGTGCGCTGATGCCAGACTCTGTCTGGAGAGCTCTCTGCTGCAGTGGGAGAGACTGATGAGGTGAAGGCTCAGTTTCATGCTAATTCAAGTTCTGAAATTGATGTAATAATTTGGTGCGCCACAATGAAAAAGTGATTTGAAAAGGTGATAATGTGTTATATAGCGTACTAAATGCATTGTGTTTTGATGATGTCCGTTGTTTTATTCAGTAGGGAGAGCTGTTCAGTCATTTCTAGGTCATAGGTATTCAGTTAAAAGTGAAGATGATCAAATCTTGTTCTCAGAATTAGAACCTTGAGTAGAAAATGTACATAAAGGATGACACCATGATTGTGGCATCAATACAGTAACTAGAGAGAGTCCGTGTACATTCTGTAATATCATTTTTTACAATAGTAAAATGAGTGAATTGCTTGGAGTTAAGAGTAGTGATTGTTTTTGGAAAGTGCTTGGAAAAAAGCACATGGAAAAGTACAATATCAGAGCAAAATATATATAGGGAAGTGAATAGAGTGGCACTAGTGAGAAGATCCACCTGTTGCTTTTTACTGTTAATGACACAGCTCCAGAAAGTTTCCCTGGTAAAGGAGAAATTCCCACCAGCTGCTCTGAGGAAGGTAGGCTGTTTGAAAGTGCCTCGGTGTGAAGGATAAGTATTTGGTAGCTAGACCATTACTCACAAAGGACACATCAATTACGGTTATGGTCACTGAGGGAAAACAATGTACGCAGAATGAGGTGTGGAACAAACTAATGGAAGGCACTCTATCACAAAGATGACTGAGTCCCCAAAGTGGTGTCTACTAGAAACAATGTCTAAAATGTCACTCATTCTGCAAAGACATACCACATGCCCTCTCTCTCTCCACTCCAAAACGTGAGTGACCTCTCCTTAACTTCTCTCAGCCATGCCTCTGTATGCACTTTGTTTAAGCAGAGCGAGGTCAAGGACTCGTGGAGAGCAACGGCCGATTGAGTGGGAGCAACATCAATTTTCCACTTCACATATGAACGTGAGTTAGCTGCTGCGAAAGGAAGAAGGAGGAAGGAGCCCCAGTCTGGTTAAACAGCTCCTCCAGAAAGGATGAGTCTGCCTGGGCCTTCCATCCAGACCAGACAGCCCCGATCCGACCCGCCCCAGCTCCCCACAGCCTCCCAAGGGATAGCCTGCTGTCTGTCTGCTGCCAGCGAAAGAAAAACACCCCTCCTCCCCTGAACAGGGGGCCCCAGGGGGGCAGAGGGCTGGGAAGGGAAAGGGAGACGCGGGGGGGTGTGGCTAGGGGGAGACGCGCAGGGCTGTGTTTACTCTCCTCTGTGGCCCTGGGAAGCCATGTGAGGAGGAAGGCCTGTCTCGACGGCGACAGACTGCGTAGTCTGTGGGAGAGAAAGAAAGGGAGAGCGAGAAAGAGAGCAAGGGAGAGGGAGAGAGATGGAGAGAGAGAGAGAGAAAGAGAGAGAGAGAAAGAGAGAGAGAGTTTGGCAGCTGGACACGCTCCAGCTGTGTCTGGGAGGATAATGAACTCCAGGTGTTCCAGCGGGTAGTTTAAGACACCTGTCACCAATATTTAGTGCCAGAAAAAGCCAGACTGCAAACAGGGCTAGACGATCTGTTTGCTTATTTTAAGAAGCCTACCTAACTGGAGTTGTGGGCCTGATGAGGAGGAGAGGCGGAACAGGGGGATGTGCAAGGGGGCCTTTCCTAGAGTCGGAGCGTGTGTGTCACTGACTGGATGTGTGTGTCATGTGTGTGTGTGTTTGCATGAACGTGTGTGTATTACCTTACAGTAAGCGTCTGGGGCAGCCGGTGCATTCACACTAAGGTGGAGGAAACAAAGGCTACCTGTGTGGAAGCCTAGGCCTTGAGTTAGGAAACTTACCTTAGTCACTCCAGCACTGAGACTTGTTTTACATGCTGCTTCCATGTTCCAAATCCTGTCTCCAACACCTGTGCTCACTCAACAGCCTGTCTTTGTCACCACCTGACTGCATCAAGGTTTTATCCAAGTATACAGTGATTGCCAGTGCACTAAAATGTCTGAAGACATTTACGTTGAAGCCCACACAGATCTGGCATGAATATGTTTCCTCCGAAACACCTTTAAGTGCTCTAACTGCAAGGACAGTAGATCCCTGATATATGCAAAAGCTAAGGACTGTTATAAAAGCCTGTTTTTATATCACAGCATACAGATATAAAAATTGTGTATGTGAATTGGGACTGGTGAACTGTGAACTGAGTTTACTTCGCACTAATCGTATAGTGCATTATGCCCTTGTTAGGAGTCGACTGTATCAGATATACCAATATAAGTTCATTAAAGACGTCTTTCATTTTCACAGTGTTCTTCCCATCCTGTTTGTCTGTACCTAGTTAAAGTTTATCGGTGTGAGTCTTCAGCTCCTACTTTTCTGTCCCATTGAGGTCTTTCTGTATATTTTATCTTGTCAGGATGAGGATCTGGTCGTGGGAACAATGTGGGGAGACCAGCCTGGTGTTACTGGGGTTCCTCACCCTGGCTCTGTCTGTAGGGAACCTCTCAACCAGGGGACAGGTACACTGTCCCACACTCTCTCTCTTTCTCTACATACATACATGCTTGCCCAACTCCAGCCTCTCTCTTACACACACTCTCTCTCTATCACTGACATAATTTCAGTCAGTCAGTTAGTCAGTCAGTTTGTCTGTCTGTCTGTCTTTCTTTCTCTTTTTCTCTATTTGCCAGTTGTTCACTCACTCTTGCTCCCTCTTTCTGGCCCTCTCATCTCCGGACTATTCTTTCTTACATGAGTTGTCTTATAAAAACCCACAGCTGTTTTCTCTCACACCTTTTACAAGGAGAGCACAGTACATATCACTTGTCTCCACTTAACCCGGATTGTCAGAGCGGCTAGACATGCTTATAATTAGTCACAGTGTGTACAGGGCTCTGTTCTACTGCTGCTGCTCTCTAAGGGTGCTGTGTTGTGTTTAGGAGGAAGGGGCAGCCTCCAACAGTCTGGAGGATGAGCTGGAGTCCACCACGTACTGGTGGGGGGAGTGGGCCAAGTGGACTGCCTGCACACGCACCTGCGGAGGGGGGGTCATGTCCCAGGAGAGGCACTGTCTCAAACAGAGGTCAGTCCGCTGACAGAAAGTTTACATTCTATACTGTTCTGTTCTATTGTTATTCTGTTCTATTCGATTCTATTCTAACCTGTTCTATTCTATTGTATTCTATTCTACTCCATAAATGTGTAATTTGTCTTCAAATCTCAACAAGCAGATTTACTAAATTAATTAATTTTCTATCCAAAGAAAGAAAGCAGCCGCTGCTAGAGACAACATGACCTGCACTGGCACTTCGAAAAAATACCTCCTCTGTAACACCAAGGTTAGCATGCATCTATTACTGCCACCACTTTTCCTGCCGTTACATGTTGACACAACACCCCACAACCCGAAGCCTATGATGCAGAAATCAATGTAGACCACACAGCTCTTTTTGTAATCAATTGAGATACAAATTGCTTAAGGTTTAGTACAGCGACCACAAACCATGGTCCTGGAGAGCTACAGGGTGAACAGCCTTTTGTTCCAGAGTTGTCACACCCTGTCACACCCTTTCATAACATATTGTAAAACTATTCTAAAATTAAAAATACATGGAACAGACAGAAATGTGTGTGTATATTTTCTGTATTGTGCAGGACTGCCCTTCCTCTGGGAGAAGCTTCAGGGAAGAGCAGTGCTGGTCGTTCAACTCACAGGTCTACAATGGCAGGAACTACCACTGGAAACCCCTGTATCCGGGTAAGACACCCATAATAAACCCACTCAGCTCTGTGTCATTCCCTCCTGTGTGGCCTGTCCTCGAGGCTCGTTATTACACTGTGACCTCTGACCTTTATATCCATCCATCTATCTACAGATGACTATGTCCATATCTCCAGTAACCCATGTGACCTGCACTGCACCACAGCCGACGGCCAGAGACAACTGATGGTTCCTGCTCGGGACGGAACGTCCTGCAAGTACAGCAACTACAGAGGGGTCTGTGTGGACGGCAGATGTGAGGTCAGGGAACGCTTGTTTCTTCATCTGCTGAGGAGATAGCTTTGCATATTCTGTGAGAATGGCCGAAATGCTTATTTTCCTGGTCACATGATAGTGTCAATAAAGTAATTCAGTTGACTTGCTATATTCTGTGTGTCATACTTTCAACTTGCTTTGCATGTGCTGAAATGATTCAAAATGATAATCATCCTGTTTGTCTTAACATCATTTCTGCAGCCAATTGGGTGTGATGGAGTGCTTTTCTCGCCCAACACGCTGGATAAGTGTGGAGTGTGTCAGGGGGATGGCAGCAGCTGCAGCAGGGTCAATGGAAATTTCCGCCGCGGGGCCACCACTTTGGGTAGGAGTGTGTTCAACCTCAACTACAAACTGGGATAGTTTGGATGGATGGATGGATGGATGGATGGATGGATGGATGGATGGATGGATGGATGGATGGGTGGGTGGATGGGTGGGTGGATGGATGGGCATGGATAGAGGGTGCTGATGGAGGAGTTATGGCTCTCCATCTTTTCCAAACCTTGAACACACCTATTTGGGACGAGCCCCACAAATGTCTCTGAAAGAGAACTATAGCCAGTTAGAGTCTGACAACAAGCTCAACATGTGCTTCTTTAGCCAACTCTTCTGATGTTCAGGCTATTTAGTTGCAGGTAAAATGGAGTCATCATAATGTTTCCTGTCTCCAAGGTTACTCCTTCATCACATCAATCCCTGAGGGCTCCTGGGACATCCAGATCATTGAGAGGAAGAAGTCAGCTGATGTTTTGGGTGGGTACTTCCTTCTTATCCTGCTCACCATGCCATGTATACACACATCTCTAATGTTCCCTGTTGGTACGGTGGGATGTTATTATGTTCCATATATTGTTATGACACGATGAAGGCGCAAAACATTTTATTCAAGATTTTCTCAAAATACAAAGGATATTTTCTCCCCAGCAATGGGATGCCTATTAATCTTGACAGTGGGAAGTTAGTAAAGGAAGTATATTAATCAACTGAAATTAATCTCTGATGATCTATATACTTTCATTTCCTTTGTGATCTCTTGAATTGACTGTATTGTATCCATATATGGTCATGTATGGGGAGGAGAAATTCCAGTGTACAGTGAACATCAGAGACATGACCTTTCCGTAGAGTCAACCAACCGGTCCTCCTCCAATGGTCCTCCATCCCCTCCATGAGACTATGTTCTATCCTATCCCCCCCCCCCCCCACAGCTGTGACCGATCAGGCAGGGAACTTCTTCTTCAATGGGAACTACAAGGTGGACAGCCCCCAGAACTTCCACGCGGCGGGGACCGTCTTCAAGTACCGGCGGCCCATGGATGTGTATGAGACGGGGATCGAGTACATCGTAGCCAAAGGGCCCATCGACCAGGCCATCAATGTTCTGGTACTGTAGCCTGCTGAGGTCTGCTCTGCTCTACTCCCTCCCCTCGTCTGGCTGCCAGGGCCTCTGGGTAATCTCTAGTTTAGAAGTAGTGTACACGTATCCAGTAACTTGCAGGTGCAGGGTACAAAAATAAAAGTTATGAAAGATAGATACCTGCAAACTGTTAATGCTCCTTCAGTTTCACTGCGCAACTTTATGGGTTAATGCATTACACAATAAAACTTCAATAGTGTACAGGTATCTTATCTTTCTTTCATGGCCTCACTCACTGGCAACTAAGCCCCACGTCTGAATGAGTGCAGGCAGGCTAGACGGCTGACTCTAACAGCAGTCGTGTACTTTACAGTATTTACTGTAAATGTGCAATTGACTGAGTTTGATAGGAGGGAGGAGGGAATGGGTGAGCTCTCGGTCTCTGGTGCTATGCTGGTCTGTCTGTGCTGCTTGCATGTTCTCTCTTAAGTTATCCAAAAAAAGACCTTGGCACATTCCTGGTCAGTAATAATTCTGTTTGACTCTGCTGTATTTGTGCACAATGTAGATTATTACTTAGAGCATTACCTCTGGTGTAAGGCACAGTAAAAGAGAAGTATAACCAACATAATTTAATCCAAAGAATCCATCTCACCCCCCCTCACCCACTATTTTGTCTCCTCATAGGTGTGGAACCAGAACGGTCGTATCCCTTACATCACGTACGAGTACACCGTCCTGCGAGAGTCCCTGTCCCCCGTCCCTCAACCTCCCGTCTACACTGGCCGCGACAGCACCGCCCCTGGGGTTTCCGTGGAGATGGGCAGTATGGTGGCCCCCAACGGGAGCACGTATGACAAGGTAGCCCCTGAGACCCGGCAGAACCAGGTGCTGAAACAGGGGCCCAAGGCGGCAGGGGCAGAGGGCCAGAAAGGCCAGGAGACCAATGAGGTGTATGAGGAGACAGCAGCAATCGACTGTCACCAAGACAGCCCAACCCCAACACAATACACAGGTAACACCAGTATACTAGAAACCAATAAATCAATACAATAACCCTAACACAAATAACCCTAATTATACATAACCCCAATACACAAGTGATTAACACAGGAAACCGGGAGGGGGAGGGAGGGAGGGAGGGAGGGAGGGAGGGAGGGGAGGGAGGGAGGGAGGGGAGCGAGAGAGAGAGAGAGAGATGAGACTGAGAGAGAAAAGCTAGAAGAGCGAGATGAGGAGAGATAGATGCGCATGCCTGAGGCGCGTCTGCATCATCTAGATATCGAGTCGAGAGCGAAGCTGTGTTTCGCTAGAAGCTGAGCGTCGATAGATCTAGCTCTTCTCTCCTCTCTCTCTCTCTCTCTCTCTCTCTCTCGCTCTCTCTAGAGAGGTTCTCGACTTGCAGACTGTGCAGTTATCCCCCTGAACTACTGTATGTCTATCGCCATATAAATCAGTTCACCGCTCAGATATCAGATGAGATAAAATGTTTTTTTTTTTTTAAAGAGAGTCCTCTCTGCTTGCCCTTTGGAGTCCTGCATTATTCACAGGCACATATACAAAGATTCAGTGAGCTCTGGCATTTTCTCATTTTTTTAATTGGCTGCATCACAAACATGAGTGGTAATGAGTGCAGGCATACCTGCCTGTACCAAGCCCTCAGACAGCCCTTCTACTTAGACTGTGGGACAGTTATGCAGGGAGTTTGGCCATTGGGTGAGACCAAGGCCCTCTCTACTGCCTTAAGGAATATGTTGAAAGGCTTTGTGTGCTGTTTTGTTGTAGTGCACAAACTGCACATAAAACTCCTATTTTAATTCATTAAAGAACACCAGGAGTTTTTCCTGACCACCTGACCAGGAAACACCTCTGGTCTGACTTATAAGGCTTTCTCCCACTTTAATAATTTCTCTATCTTTCCATGCCCTTCCTGTTATCCCAACAGATGGCAACAGCAGTCACACAGGCAGTGTAGAAGTCCCTGCCCCGGCAGCCAGCAGGCCTTTAGAGGACGTGCCAGACTCAGAGAACCTCATCTGGAGAGTCTTGCTGGGCGAGCAGATTGGTCCGGATGAGCTGCTCACCAACATCTCAACCAATCAGCTCCTGACGGAGGGAGAGGGACTGTTCTCGTCGGAGGTGGCGCCGTTGGAGGTGGACTATAGCAGTGTGGAGCAGGGAGGCCTGTTCCCCCTCAACAGCTCTCTGGGGGAGTTCAGTCTGGGCCCGTGGAGGAATGATACTGGAGACCTGCTGTTCCCCAACAGGACGCTGCTGACGGGATTGAGGAGCAACAACCGCACCAACAGAACCAGGTACAGTAAGGAGGGATCCACACAATGTTGAGCAGAAATAAAGAGGCAATGTTGGCCCAACGTCAGCTTGCTATCTGGTATAGGAACCTTTCCAAATAATATCACTTCAAAATCCCATCCACAACCCCTCTGATCTTCTTCTTCCACCTCAAAGACACTAACTCTCTTCACTTAGTGATGCTGCTGCTGAGGGTTTAGCGTGAACACTACAGACCCACTGGGCACACACTGGTTGAATCAACGTTGTTTCCATGTCATTTCAATGAGATTACGCTGAACCAACGTGGAATAGATGTTGAATTGACATCTGTGCCCAGTGGGGAGTCCTTCTCTCTCTAAGTAAGGTCTAAAGTGCAGGGATGTGACGATACCAGTATCATTTTTCCATGGAAAAAATGAAAACACGAAGCAGACCAAACTCTTTGGTCCTTTAAAAGCCTGCTTTGTAAAATACTGTGTGCTATAACTTGGAAAATAAATAAATGTGACTCTGGATGACAACATAATGATGTTTGTTTCCAACATTAGGGCTGTTTTCCTAAAGAAGTTAAATTCATTTCGTGTTTTGTTTCCTTGCCACGATACTGACGCGTATCGCGACATTGGTATCATCCCGGCCCTACTGGAGTGAGTCATTTCAAGGCCCTGAGCAGAGGGGCATGTAAAAGTGCTGGATAGTCTCGTCAGGAAAAGGGCCCGTGCTGCTGGCTCGGCTGGCTGGGGGAATGGAATGTGCTCCAGGCTGGCTTCTGGCCCCATCTATCCCTTGCTTCTTTTTTCTTTCTGAGACATCCCAAGAATCGCATGGAGAGGAGACAGCCAAAGCGCAGGGCTGGCCGGGGTAGCATTCCATCACATTTATAATTCATGTTGGCTTCCCTGCGCTGTGTCCAAACAGCGCTTTGCCAGTTCTCCTGCCAGAGCCCCATAAAACACATCACATGACACACCCTGTCTTCCCCTGAGTTGGGGAGAAGAACGGATTGGAGGAGAAGAAGGAGAGGAGGAGGAGGGGGGATGAGAGGAAAAGGAGGAAGGGGAGGAGGAGGAGGAGGTGAAAAAAAGGGATACGGTCCACTTAAAACAAATAATTCAAGGTATTTGCGGCAAAGTGAAAAATATGACTGGGAAGAAACATACTGTCAGACTGTAGTCACCTCTAGGGATGAATGTGCAGGAATTAGTCACAGTTACACTGAGATATGTCAGTTAAGAATGATTCAAAGTTCCTGTGTATTTTCAAATAAACATCACTGCTCTGGCTATAAAAAAAACAGCCAGTGATATGACAAGAATGTTCATGTCACTTTTATATGAATTAATGAAAAACAGAATGTCGCTGGCTGTTATGATTTGGAGGGTGAGGTGAATCAGCCGTAGCTGATTGTGTGTGTGCGTGTGAGAGAGAGAGAGAGAGAGCTGGGGTTCAGTGGGTTTACCGTGAAGGCCTGGTTATGTCTTGTTTGACAGGACCAATCGTGTGAAACCTTATTGTCATGTTGTGTTTGACAGGACTAATCAGAGGTTCCTGCAGAAGAACTTCAAGCTGAGCCCTGCAGACATGTACCGCTGGAAACTGTCTTCTCAGGAACCCTGCTCCTCCACCTGCTCTATAGGTAAACACACACACACACACACACACACACACACACACACACACACACACACACACACAGTATGTATGGATTAGTTATGAAATTGTAAGTTATCATTTCTGCTGCAGGAGTGTCTAAGTCCTTTGCCATGTGTGTTCGCTACGACGGCGCTGAGGTGAATGACATGCACTGTGACACTATGACTCGACCTGAGCCTGTTCATGACTTCTGCATTGGGAGGGAGTGCCAGCCCAGGTATGCACCAGAAAACAACACACTTAAAAAGTCCTTAAAGGACTGTTTACCAGTCGGACGATTCTTGAAGTGCAGCAAAGTTCTTTGAGAACAATGTTTGCCTCTTTTCCACATTAAACCAGGAACGGTAAAATGGTGTTGGCCACTACCATTCTATTTAAGATTCGATTTAATTGACTTCAGAAGATAACTAACTGCACCTGAACTCCACTCTGTGTGCATCCCCTCACCCTCAGGTGGGAGGCCAGCAGCTGGAGTGAGTGTTCTCGCACCTGTGGCGAGGGCTTCCAGTTCCGTCTGGTGCGCTGCTGGAAGATGCTGTCCCCCGGACTGGACAGCTCTGTGTACAGTGACCTCTGCACCCTGGCAGAGCTGGAGAGGCCCCTAGAGCGCCGCGCCTGTAAGAGCCCCACCTGCGGCCCCCAATGGGAGGTGGCCGAGTGGAATGAGGTGGGTGGAGCTATACTGTAGGAGTGGAGGTGGGACAGGGGTTGTGTGTGTGTGTGTGTGTGTGTGTGTGTGTGTGTGTGTGTGTGTGTGTTGTAGTTTCCATGATAGTTACAATGGCAGGTTACTGTGTAGGAGCAGCTGTAGGTGAAATTGAAGGTGTGTGTCCTCTCTCATCTTTCCTGTACAGTGCCCAGCGAAGTGTGGCCGCAGGGCCCAGGTGACCCGGGAGGTCAGGTGTTCAGATGAAACCAAGTCATGTGATCCCCTGACCCGCCCCCTTAACACCAAGAACTGCACAGGCCCGCCCTGCGAGCGCCAGTGGACTGTGTCAGAGTGGGGGCCGGTGAGTACACTACTTTCACTCACTACTACATTTCTATGGTACATTGATTACTGATATGAATAGTGATTGCACTGACTGTCTCTTTGGATCAGTAATACTATGTATTTTTGCCGTGTCATCTCCATTAACCTTTGACCTCTGCAGTGCTCGGGGTCGTGCGGCCAGGGGAAGATGGTACGCCACGTGTACTGTAAGACACCAGAGGGCCGTGTGGTGCCTGAATCCCAGTGCTCTCCGGAGAATAAGCCCCTGGCCATCCACCCCTGTGGGGAGAAGGACTGTGCCCCACACTGGCTCACTCAGGACTGGGAGAGTGTAAGGCAACTGAGTCATTTTGTTGATGTTCTGTTGATGTTCTATCTATGTTTTATTGATGTTCTGTTGATGTTCTCATGATGTTCTATAGATGGTCTCTTAATGCTCTGTTTGTGTTCTATTTTGACAATGTTTACTTGATGTTCTCTTGATGTTCTGTTGGTGTTCTCTTGATGTTTTGACAATGTTATCACAATGTTCTGTTGATGTTCTATATATGTTTTGTTGATGTTCTAATGATGTTCTCTTGGTTAGAGATTCATTAGCTGAGAGCAGTCTTTTTTTCCTCTCAGTGTAACACGACATGTGGCCGCGGTGTGAAGTGGAGGATTGTGCAGTGCGCCGGCATCACTGCTGGGAAGTTCCAGACCCACGATGACGAGGCGTGTGGTGCCAGTGAGAGGCCAGAGACCGAGAACACCTGCTTCGAGAGGCCCTGTTTCAAGTGGTACACCACGCCCTGGTCTGAGGTGAGATACCATTTCAACCATGACATTGTTCACAAAGGCAGTCGGTCACACTCACAAACGCACCTGCTACAAATATCATACCCCCAATACTTTTGCTCCCCTAAAATGGGGGGACTATGTACAGAAAGTGCTGTAATTTCTAAATGGTTCACCCGATATGAATGAAAATATCCTTACATTAAATTAAAATTATAGACTGATCATTTCTTTGTCAGTGGGCAAACGTACAAAATCAGCAGGGGATCAAATACTTTTTTCCCTCACTGTATATGTGTCACTGTACCAATACTTTTGGAACTCACTGTAGATGGTGTCCTATTAAACCACAACAAAATCATCAAATCAAATTGTATTTGTCCAATGTGCTGAATACAACAGGTGTAGACATTACCGTGAAATGCAGAGTTTAAAAAAGTAAGTAAGAAAAATGTGCTAAATTAACTAAATGAAAAATAGCAACACAATAAATTAACATTAACAAGGCTATATACAAGGGGTACCGGTACCGATCAATGAGCAGTGCTGCTGTGTTCATTCCTCAGTGCACTAAGGCATGTGATGTGTTCACTCCCTCATTTTACTAAGATGTGTGGTGTGTTCACTCCCCAGTGCACTAAGACGTATGGTGTGTTCACTCCCCAGTTGCACTAAGATGTCTGGTGTGTTCACTCCCCAGTGCACTAGAGTGTCGGTTGTGTTCACTCCCCAGTGCACTAAGATGTGTGGTGTGTTCACTCCCCAGTGCACTAAGAGGTCTGGTGTGTTCACTCCCCAGTGCACTAAGACGTGTGGTGTGTTCACTCCCCAGTGCACTAAGATGTGTGGTGTGTTCACTCCCCAGTGCACTAAGAGGTCTGGTGTGTTCACTCCCCAGTGCACTAAGACGTGTGGTGTGTTCACTCCCAGTGCACTAAGGACGTGTGGTGTGTTCACTCCCCGTGCACTAGAGGTCTGGTGTGTTCACTCCCCAGTGCACTAAGATGTGTGGTGTGTTCACTCCCCAGTGCACTAAGACATGTGGTGTGTTCATTCCTCAGTGTACTAAGAGGTCTGGTGTGTTCACTCCCCAGTGCACTAAGACGTGTGGTGTGTTCACTCCCCAGTGCACTAAGACGTGTGGTGTGTTCACTCCCCAGTGCACTAAGACGTGTGGTGTGTTCCAGTGGTGTGGTGCTATTTCTTTTTGGTAAGGGAGTGCAAAAAAATAACAAAATAAATGACGTAATCATTTGTCAAGTTTGTACCAGCAGATGTAGCCTATTGAATATCATTGTAGAATAGGCCTATGCATAAATGCATCCTCAAATTACACTGTGTGGCTATGCCCACACGTTGTACATGTTTTATAACCCATCACTAAGTTCGCCAGACCTCATTTCAAAATAGGCCATCATCACTGAATTACAATATTCACGTTTTACTGGTGAAATGTCCAAACTGCATGCCAATCATTTGATCTCATTATGCCAATCATTTGATCTCATTCAGTTTCATGGGAATATGCATTTAGATCTTCTTGAATTACTGTTTCGTGAGCGAATGAAAGCAGATGGTGTTAACAAACTATTAGCCTTTCTTGTGGGCCTATTTTATTTCAATCAAAGCATATCTCCTGCCTAGTGGCGCGCTGTTAAGTTTTGGCCACGTGAGGAAAACAATTAGACTATTAAGCTTCAGATAAGAAATGACTGAGGAGGGGTTTTTGGTGTAACATATTATAGGCCTGCTATGCTACAGTAAATGTATGCTATTATATTCGGTTCTATTATGTAAAACACTAATCATTGTGATCTTGGGAGACATTGATTCAGCTTTGATCTAACTTTATTAAACGAGCACCATTGTGAGAAGTGATAATCAAAAAATGTGTAATAATAATAATAATAAGAAGTCATGAGTAGGACTATTAGGCGTAGGAAACAGATCTTGATGAGGGTTATTTTAAGCGATTGCCTTTCTAATCGTGGTGCTGAAAGGAAAGGACAGCACAGTAACCAAGTGGTCACATCGTTCTGGGTTCCACTTTATGAACTTCAAGGCAGACATGCCGTGAATTTGGATCCAAGATCTCATTGGTGTGATGCGGTGGATCAGTTTGTCTGCATACACAATATAGGTGGTACATTTCCGTAAGCTAAGCACTCAGACAGTAGGGCGTACATGAGCCCCAAGTCCATAACAAACTGTTTTGAGGACAGCTGTTTTAGCAACCCCTGGCAGAGTGTTCTGTCTGTGGCTGTTCTTGTTATGTCAGATTTGGCCTGCTCAAAGTGGTCAAGCCTCTGACAAACGGGCCTCTGCACACACGCCTACAGTTATTCATCATTTGCGCCACCGCCAGAGAGAGAAGACAGGGAAGAAACCACCATTTACCTACCTATAGGCTGCTATAGCCTACATATTTATTTAGTTTGTCATTCTATAATTTTGATGGAATGTTTGTGGTAATTAAATATAATGTATTTATAATTTATCAGAATGAATTTTAATGACCAGCTCTGTGTATTCTCAAATTGAAAAAAGTGAGGGAGCGCCGCTCCCCAGCGCTACGGCAGCACTACACCCCTGGTGGGTTCGCTCGTCAGTGCACTAAGACGTGTGGTGTGTTCACTCCCCAGTGCACTAAGACGTGTGGTGTGTTCACTCCCCAGTGCACTAAGAGGTCTGGTGTGTTCACTCTCCAGTGCACTAAGACGTGTGGTGTGTTCACTCCTCAGTGTACTAAGACATGTGGTGTGTTCACTCCCCAGTGCACTAAGACGTGTGGTGTGTTCACTCCCCAGTGCACTAAGACGTGTGGTGTGTTCACTCCCCAGTGCACTAAGACGTGTGGTGTGTTCACTCCCCAGTGCACTAAGACGTGTGGTGTGTTCACTCCTCAGTGTACTAAGACATGTGGTGTGTTCACTCCCCAGTGCACTAAGACGTGTGGTGTGTTCACTCCCCAGTGCACTAAGACGTGTGGTGTGTTCACTCCCCAGTGCACTAAGACGTGTGGTGTGTTCACTCCCCAGTGCACTAAGACGTGTGGTGTGTTCACTCCCCAGTGCACTAAGACATGTGGTGTGGGTGTCCGGATGAGAGACGTGAAGTGCTACCAGGGCAGGGAGATCGTGAGAGGGTGTGACCCCCTGACCAAGCCTGTGGCCAAGCAGACCTGCGCCCTGCAACCCTGTCCCACTGAACCCCCAGGTACGTAAGCAATAGCCTGGTCCCAGATCTGTTTGTGCTGTCTTGCCAACTCCAATGACCATAGGAGTTAGCAAGACGGCACAAACAGATTTGGGATCAGGCTGTGTAAGCAGCACCTCACCACAGCCTCAGGCAACTTTAGGAGAGTTACAGTCTAGTCACAGGCAAAAGTCAACCGGGGAACACAGCATGTTTAAAGCGCTTGTTTTTAATTGTATTATTTAAGTACACCTCTTTCTTTCATAACAGCCTAAGGTCCTGAGCATTTAGATTGTGGAGGTAAAAAGGCATTGATTGATTAATTAATTAATTAATTCATTGATAGATTTATCATTACAGTATTTTCGGATCCTGATGAGGCTACTTTTTCCATATCATTGAACATATCATATATGTCTCTCTGCCAAGCAGATGAGAGCTGTCAGGACCGTCCCACCACCAACTGCTCTCTGGCTCTGAAGGTGAACCTGTGCAGCCACTGGTACTACAGCAAGGCCTGCTGCCACTCCTGCAGGGCCCAGCACACCTCTTAGTATTGCCTGACACCCCCAAAACCTTACCCTGCAGCTCTCCAACCCCCACCCCCTACCTCCACCAGACCCCCACAAACCCCTTACCTCCAACCACTGCAAACCCATACCCACAACCCTCCTACTTCCAGCCAAAGAGCCCTCTACCCCAGACTACTAGTCAACAAACTACCCCCCAGTAGGTTACTCTACTACCCCCCCCAGTAGGTTACTCTACTACACCCCAGTAGGTTACTCTACCCCCCCCCCCCCAGTAGGTTACTTTACTACCCCCCAGTAGGTTATTTACTACACCCCAGTAGGTTACTTTACTACACCCCAGTAGGTTACTTTACTACACCCCAGTAGGTTACTCTACTACCCCCCCCCCCCCAGTAGGTTACTTTACTACACCCCAGTAGGTTACTTTACTACACCCCAGTAGGTTACTCTACTACACCCCAGTAGGTTACTTTACTACCCCACAGTAGGTTACTCTACTACACCCCAGTAGGTTACTTTACTACGCCCCAGTAGGTTACTTTACTACACCCCAGTAGGTTACTCTACTACCCCCCAGTAGGTAACTTTACTACACCCCAGTAGGTTACTCTACTACCCCCCAGTAGGTAACTTTACTACACCCCAGTAGGTTACTCTACTACCCCCCCCCCCCCCAGTAGGTTACTCTACTACCCCCCCCAGAAGGTTTTTTACTACACCCCAGTAGGTTACTTTACTACACCACAGTAGGTTACTTTACTACCCCCCAGTAGGTTACTCTACTACCCCCCAGTAGGTTACTCTACTACACCCCCAGTAGGTTACTTTACTACACCCCCAGTAGGTTACTTTACTACCCCCCAGTAGGTTACTCTACTACCCCCCAGTAGGTTACTCTACTACCCCCCAGTAGGTTACTCTACTACACCCCAGTAGGTTACTTTACTACACCCCAGTAGGTTACTCTACTACACCCCAGTAGGTTACTCTACTACCCCCCAGTAGGTTACTATACTACCCCCCCAAAAGGTTATTTTACTACACCAGAGTAGGTTACTTTACTACCCCCCAGTAGGTTACTATACTACCCCCCAGTAGGTTACTATACTACCCCCCCCAGAAGGTTATTTTACCAGACTTACCCCCCAGTAGGTTACTTACTACCCCCCAGTAGGTTACTCTACAACCCCCCCAGTAGGTTACTCTACTACCCCCCCAGTAGGTTACTCTACTACCCCCAGTAGGTTATTTTACTACACCCCAGTAGGTTACTTTACTACAACCCAGTAGGTTACTCTACTACCCCCCAGTAGGTTACTCTACTACCCCCCCAGTAGGTTACTCTACTACCCCCCCAGTAGGTTACTCTACTACCCCCAGTAGGTTATTTTACTACACCCCAGTAGTTTACTTTACTACACCCCAGTAGGTTACTTTACTACACCCCAGTAGGTTACTCTACTACCCCCCAGTAGGTTACTCTACTACCCCCAGTAGGTTACTCTACTACCCCCCAGTAGGTTACTCTGCTACCCCCCAGTAGGCTACTATATATCTAAAGGGCCTGATCCAAATGAGAAGGAACAGTAGAATATGATAAAGGCTTCAGTCTGAACCACAACCACATACCTTTCTTTCAGAGAGGTTGTCATGCAAAGAATGAAACCCTGAAGTACTAAGAGTCAAGTGGGATAGATGAGAGCGCGAAGAGTGAACTGGTGTATCTATTTGTGTCTTTTGAAGATAAAATCCTACCCCAGAAATCTCTTAAACCATCGCTGTCGTTACTCCAAATATTAACAACCTATTAAGAGAATGGTCCACAATGATGTGGAAAGATATATATTAAATTATTTCTCGGTTGACTATACTGCATGTCTAGACTGAATTTAAGATAAATATTGACTATGAATATTATTTAATTATCTTTTAAATTAGTGTGTGGCACAGGAAAGGTGTCCATACTGAGTGTTATCCTTAACTATGATATGAGAAATAGTACAATACAGTGTAACTGCCCCATTTTATCCTGTCCAATTCTTTGTTATTAGACCCATACTGCTATGTTTTGCAGAACATACAATTTATTTATTACTCATCACACATGATTTTATCAATCATGGCATATAATTCTTGAAGTTACTGAATGCCAGGTAGGTAAGTGTGAATGAGAGAGTGAATTTAGAGATTAAGACTAAAGGCATACAGTATGGCCATTCAGTTATCCCATTCATGGACTGAAATATTCTTGACACTTGAAAAGGTTGAAATACATTGAAGTGTTTGTATCTCATTTTTTACAATATATATCTAGTGTACTGTTTTTGTGGAACTGATACCTCTTTGTACAAAGAAGTAATCATTGAGCTTTTGTACTGTTGTTAACTGAAATCCTCAATGTATTTACCTGTATTTTGATTAAAAAGTGTAAATTATAGCTGTTTCTTTGATTGATATGTTGTGTTCAGCATACAAAAAACATGCACTAATTTTTTCATCTGTTTATTGTTGACACTATTTGTACAATGTAAGACGCTGTATTCCACATATGGTTCATCCATAGTAGTTGATGGGAAATGCATGTACCAGGACCTGATGCCACCTGCTGGTTTCTGTATGGGGCTTTCCCTCTCACATTTACTGCTGAAATAAAACACAAATATCCTATACACTAAGAAGACAAAACACTGTTAAATCAAACAAGACATGCCATGTTACATTTTTGGGGAAATCAAAAAGGGTTTGGCCACCCATACTTGCCAAGTAAACAGTACACACATTACTAGAGCAACCAACTCAATTGACATACACTAACTTTATTGTGGAACTTGAAGTATATGACTTGACAATGAGCTACATGAAAATTACTTCAAATATATATTTAAACATATTTTCCATTTATGTTTTAACCAAATGAGCTCTTAAAAATAGTTATGTTTCCACTCTCTATTGAGAGAACACTCAAAACTGAAGCAAAAACACAGGACTTGGGAATCAGGCTAATGAGACTAAGATATTTTGGCAGCTTACAGTACCTTTTGTGTCATCACCTATGCATAAACCACAAGAGAATGTACAGTACAGATATCACACAACATAAACTGTTATTTCTATGCATCAGAGGTGGCACCACAGGTCCCAGAGTGGTGGGGCAATTCTTTTTTTCCTGATCTGGTAACCTAACGAGGTAAAACTCTGGACCTTATATGGTATGACGTGATTCATCAGTTGTAAAAAAGCTTTAATATGGGCTATGATGAGAGCAGCGTCTTTCTAGTCAGGTCACATGTTTTTAATAACCTCCTGGGAAAAAACCTGGCCTTGGGGAGGATGAAAACCGTGTCAAACAGCAGCAACCTGTTCATATTAATTATATTTTAAAGCTAGACTAACAGGGGGTTTATTTTAAAGCTAGACTAACAGGGGGTTTATTTTAAAGCTAGACTAACAGGGGGTTTATTTTTAAAGCTAGACTAACAGGGGGTTTTCTCTACACAGACACAGATACAGCAACATGATTGGACAATAGAACTCACAGGGCTGAGCTTGCTTTATGCAGGTTTGCATCATGTAGTCCTGCCCTATGCAACTGTTGGCCTAATAAAACATTTAACTCACAGTCTATGTCAGCTATTGTGTTTATTAATGAATTCTGATTAATAATTTTGGATAGAAAAAGTCTAGGTAGCCTAGTCAGCCCGAGTTTGAACATAAACCAAATGTGATCCCATTCACATTTTCTCCTAATACAAAGAAATGGGCAATAAATACATAATGTTACCGCTTCGTTTACCCTGGCCAGAGGTAGACCAACCGGCTGGCAGATGGCGTTACTATTCCTTTTCCGTCGTACATAAAACATCCTTTCTCAGGCTACAAAGGCGTCGGTTTCCTCGTTAACTAGCTGTAATGCCGAGCCTGCAAAAAAAGAATATGGGAAAAATGCGTACTGTCTTAATAAAACATTTTCGAATGGCTAATGCTACTTCCTGATGTTGTACACAGCGTTCAGCCAGGGGTACACAACCGACTGCTGCAACCTGATTGGCTGAACATCAGGAAGTAGCATCAGCCACTCTAGCATGGTGGTGGAAAATTGTGTTTTATTAACGGGGTGGAGGGTTACTAAGCTAACATATGGAATTGTTTTAATATGGCCATACCAATGATCATTTAGCTATTTGATTTTGAATTTTAAGACCACTTAATGTATCCAAAATATATATTTTAAAAAATATTTGATGAAACATTGAATTTGGCCTTACTGCTATAAGCCCATAGAAACAGATTCATTGCATGGAACAACCGATAGTCCCCCAAAAAATCCAAATGAAGTTTGTTGTGAAGTGTCTGTCCTGTACGCATATTTTTCCAGTTCTTTTTTTCAGTCGGCTCGCCATTAAAGCTAGTTAAGGAGGCAATCGACGCCCTTGCAGCCTGAATGGAGGACAAACAAAGTAAAAGGAATAATAGCGCACTGTGCCAGCCGGTTGGGCTAGGCCAGAGGGACAGGGTGGAGTAGACTGTTTGCAGCTGCTGTTGTTAGTAGCCTACAGTTGATCAGACTGAAAAATCATCTTGTTTCCATACGATACAGCATGTCAGATCGCTAATGTTTAGGTGTAGGCTGCTTCAACATTTATGCAAAGAGTTTTTTGCTTGTGTCTGTCGGGAATTATATGTTATCACATTTGCTAAATAAATACAGAGGAAAGTGAAGCGCACCTTGAGCTTTGTGCCTGGCCTAACCTAATGTAGCAGGTGTTAAAGAAATGCCTGGGCGGAGCTCCGGTTTTCAGCGGAAAAGGAAGCTAGGTTGAGTTAGCTGTATCCCCGAAAACTGGGTGCATCCGGTTGTTGGCAACTCCGCTAAGGGTGTGCCAGGCCCGCGCGACCTGTGATTTCTGTGAATCTTTTTTGTCAAGACACTGCAGCAGCACGGCGATGTGAAGGACAGAGAAATTGTGAGCTAGTTGACAAATCATGAGGCAAATCGGTCTAAATAACAGCACGTTGCCCCT